CATCAATAGTACAAAAGTGCATTACATATGGAACAAGCACCTAGGCATTTTTCCATCACTATTATTCTTTTTAGAATACAATTAATACTTCATGGCAATACATTCACAGGCACGTGAAAAAATTAACATTTCAGATGTTAATTTAAGAATAAATTATATATGTATTTCTATTTGCATTGCTTGTGCCTTGCACGTTTCCCACTCTACAAGCTTATGACAGATGCATAAGAAAAATGGCACTTCATAGAAATCTTCATAGCATGTCATTAACAAATGGCACTCTGAGTATGCTTCTTGTACTTCACAAACATCCCACCATTTTCAACTTTCTATACACCAGCATAGACCCTGACAAATACAGTGTGTATCTATGGGAAGCATAGTTCTAGGGACAATTTGAAATATGTGCATCTACCGGCAGGACATGGCATGTGACAGTGGCTAAACAGTTACTTTCCCAATGTTTTCTTATTGTATATCACAAAACATCACTTTCTTTAAGACCAAAGCGTGTTTTGTACTTGTCAAAAAGGCACTGGAGTGACCTGATATACATTGAATGGTACACATCTACCATGTCCTCAGTTGGATCTTCAATTTTTGGCACAGTGATTGGCTCTCCAACTGCAACAAGAACAACAATATATTATGTATGAATACTAATCAGAATTGTCAAATTGTAATAATTTATATTGGGAAAAATGAACACATTTGAAGAAGTTATGCATCTTACCTATAGTTGTAATAGGCTTGCAATAAGGCACAAACCCCCAAGAGTCACCAAAGATAAGGCCACAGCCATGAAACACACAGGGAGCGAAGCCCAACAGTTTCTGTAACCTCTTCTGGACCGAGCGCCACCATGTCCCCTCCTCAAAGATCACCTGTTTATAGGCATCATTTTCTCCAAAGGAATACACAGGAACAAGATCGGACCTGAGAAATATAAGACAAGTATGTAGATACTGTAAGCTCAATCAGGTGACAGATGGTATAAAGATGAGGGGTTGAACAGGTACATATTTTAAAGGTTAGAAAATATATACTTTATTGAGAAATTCAGTTAAATTCAAAAATTCAAAAAGCACTCAAAAGCTAAATTGAGGTAAGGGTAATCTCAAGAATAGTTTGGAGCATTTGTTGGTGGAGCCAAATATGGCCCCTGCTCTTTGGTAATCCTCTTTAGGGATGATTTGGATTTATTTCAGAAGGTGAGAAAATATACCCAGACAAAGTAGATTCATTTATGCTTGTTATGGCGTGAATTCCACACAAAGAGTAATGCCGGCTCACACGTCTGGGCTTTCCACCCAAGCTTTAAGATTTTCTTCTTATAAAATATCTTTAATTCAGTGATGTAATCGCAACCTTTTAAAAAACAACCTCAGAGTTTTAACCTTCTTAATAATCTAAAGTTTGGTTGTTGTTTACTGGTAATTCATATTCCATTTTTTTATTTAACTTTTACGTAAGTGCTTAATATGATTGTACTCACCCTTTCTGCAAGGCCAGTTTGATAAAACCTTTGCGATTCTTGAGGGTTACAGAATTCGAGCCTGGTGCACAATTCAGAGACTCTGCAGCCCCTCCGACCACAATGACGACTGCATTACCAGTCCCATTACATGAAAGTAGGTAGTCAATAGAGTTCTTGTTTACAGGACAAATACCTTTGGGAAAAGAGCACAATAAAAAAAACAATTATATATTTTTCTAAACAATATACATCAACTTTAACTCATCTACAGCAAAACCTTCTAAGACTCTGGCAAATAAGTCTTGATAACTGGACAGTAAATGAGAATTAGTCAAAACAGCAGATCAATGCAAACATACGCTTTTTGACCCTTGAAACTGTACTGCAACAGGACAAAGGTTGCTCCTGAGTGAAATTGTGTTATCAGCCTTTTTAATTATCTAAAATAGGTCTAACAAAGGCTTATATTAAACAATCATTTCAACATGGATGAAGTGTAGGGCATAAAGACACAAGTGTAGAGCATATTCTCATCACAGGACAAACAAGGCGCACGCTCTGCAGAGGGAATGGCTTATAGTTAGAGCACTTTAATGGGCCAGATTTGTTCACCTCCTCACCTCCAGACATCAGATAGTCCCGAAGAACGGGCAAGCGGAAGTTTCCAGCCAGTGTTGCCAGGGAAGGTTTGATGCCAGGGAATTTTTTAGAGAACCCAGTTGCTTCGGTTCCAAAATTGCAGAATGCCCCAAAGCAAAGAATTCCATGCGGGTGATAGCCAAAGATGTAGTTCCGACTGGGAGATAAGTTGTGGGTTTTAATAAGCTGAAAGAATATAAGTATATGTTTGAGTTACATCCTCTTTAAAGAAAAGCAACAGTGTTATCAGCTTAACGTGACACAAACACATTCAAGTACAGTCATAATCATGGCACATTATCACAGTCTGTGCACAGTCTGTGAACTTTGAACATATGCTGCATCATCTCAATTTGTTGCTGTTCAAATTGAGCTGGAATATTGTATTTACTCCAACATTAGTTTGAAAGCTTTCCTTTCCTTTATAACACTACAAAAGTACACATTTAAGAAAGAAACAAGAAAGATACTAAAGTAAATAAGATTTTTGAATTCGTCAAATGTACCCCTGAGGTTTTGTGTAGCGCACATGTGTTTTTTTGTGTGTGCATGCTGGAGTGTGTGTATATGTGTGTGGGTGTGTGTGTGTGCTGTGTACATAATAGATTTTATAACAAGCATAATGCGGAAAGATCCTGCGATTAAAAAGTATTATCAACAAGAAAGTGCTTGGTACAATTTTTGGTTGTTACAAAGCAAGCAATAAAACCCTTTCAGCCACTACACTTGGATAATTTAATTAACTTAAAAAGTGAGAGCACTAATTTTTCCCCCAAAAAATTTTTCTTACAAAAAAGCTTCTTTTTTCTTGTTCTTTGTACAATTTGTACAATTTGTACAGTCTGTTTACATTTGGTTTCTAGGAAGTTACATCAAAGAGAAAACAAACCGATACGATGATCCTTATGGACATATCAATGCAAACAAAGTGTTATCTGCATACTATCTATTTTTACTGTAGTGGTTAGACAGTATGCAGTTTAGATTTTCCATCTCCTCTAGGGTCCACTTCCTGCATTGCTTCAAATTATTCAAAGTAAGTCCAGCCAATAACAATAACGTGTTCATGGACACCATGAAGTGCTATTTTCAGATAAACCTAGTCCATCTTTGAGCAGTGCCAGATGAAAACAGTCAAGTAATGCCTGAGTACATGTGCTTCTGCTTTATGGAAAAAAAACTATATTGAGCTACTATCTGGCAGGACAAAGTCCAAAATCCTCAAGTTTTCATTAAATAATCAGCATAGGACATGGAGCAGCATGGCACTTACAGCTGATATTGCTTTCACTTGATAACTTATCAACCACTGGTAATCAATAAACAAGACTACAGGTTCAGTGATGACGTACCAAGACTTCATAATAAATATGTTATTAGATGTCTCTTCTGTACCTTTAACAAATGATATGTTACAATCCCATTATTATGTATTATCAGACATTTTAGCAACTCCTGTCAAAACTGTCAGCTTACTCTGATTGGAAAGTAGTCTCTGAAGTAGGTCCACACTGTCCAGCTCCTCACCCAAGACGATCTACGCCCACCTAAGACAAAACCCACACAGGCAAAATATAATAATCATAATGCTTTATTTTTAAAATAAATGTTTTGTAATTTAATCAAAACTAGCTAAAGTTTGTTTCAGGGCTCAGATACATTACCTTGTTTAGGTGTGTTCCAGTCAAAGATGAGCCATGCGGTGTAAATGGCAGCAATCAACCAGCAATCAGTAAGGAACATGTAAAACAACAGAACGGTGCAGGCAGCTCCTGGGAAGAAAATAAGATCATACATAACGTTATTATTAGGCCACTTAAGAAAAATGCAGCTGGGAAAAATGACCTACTTAAAAGGCTAATGAGACTAAACACAAACCCTGCTGGTTTCCTCTCATGCTTCGGCTTACCCTAACTCTTTAGCACTGGGGTCCCAGACACACACACTCACCCAGAGCCATGAAGCTGATGACCCACTGCAGCACAGAGATGACCTGCAGATGTTTCTCCATTTTGGATCGGCAAGGCCACAGGGCTGCAGGCACGTCCTGCAGGGCAGACAGAATACTGGAGCCTGTGCCTTAGAAAACAAAAATCAACAATTAAACAAGAGTGACACAAAAGCAGTCCCATCAAAAAATTACAATTTTATCAAATAATTACTTCAGCAGAGGTTCCAATACTTCAGCAATGTTCTAAATTAGGTGGTATCCATTTATAAAAATCCTTCTTGGATGCATTCATTATGTCTATCTGAGCGTAGTTGTGTTCCGGATCCATGCATGACTCTTCAGAGCAACAAACCAACTAGTTCCAGTTCATGATAAGAAGACCTCTCTGTCTAATCCTTTCTTTGCCGGCCAAAAATAGTCATCACCATGTTGGCTCAGGTAAAGGGACTATCACTGCTTAAGCCAGCTCTTCTGGTGGATGGACAAACTCAATTAGAGAGCAGAGGCGTGTCCTGCTGGAACACAAGGGTTGCTAGTGCGACTGCCACGGAGAATGATGAAGCAAGTGACCAGAGACCTATGATTGGACAGTCTATGTCCATGAAGCAGACCAACAACCAGGGAATGTTGTTCATCCATCCAGAAAATATGTCAACATAGATGATTAATCCACACCACCGAGTTCATCCCCAGCTCCCAATCTATTTACTTGACTTCAGTGACGGCAGATAACACAGGGTTCAAGAGGTACACCTGAGGCCAATAGGGCCCACTACAAAAGTGCAAATAACATCAATCAGTTGTTATACAAATTCCAACCCAGCGCAGGTACAGATTATGTCTCCTAATCAAGAAATACTATTTAAATTGCACTAGCACAATTACAATTAAATTTAAAGTGTTGCATCATTTTCGTTTGTCTTATTTCAATCAATTAACAATTTCAATTTAACTTGGTAATGTTTAGAATGTATTAACTTTGCAACAAATTACAGCTTGATGGAGACCATCTGGCAATAAATGAGTGTAAATATGAACTCATGAGTGTTTTGAGTTATTGAGCGGCTGAACTTGACCATGGTCCACGATTTGCCTCAAATTATTACAAAACAAGCCCCTCGCCGTTCCTGTGATGGTGGTCCACTCACCTTTGGCGACACCAGAGTAGGCAGCGAGGATAGTCTTCATGACTGAAGCTTCTTGGTTAGATTGGACGATCCAAAGAAACTCAGACAGGTGGACTTTTTACACAGTGTGCACCCGGTCCTACAGCTCCTCTTTCATGATGTGCACCGGGCAGAAGTGCGCCCCGACGATATAAGTGCTAAAGGGAGGGGCCTCAAGACGCGCAGAGCTCCAGCAGCGCACCGCTGGACTGAAGGTGTGTCCCGTGGGTGGCCCCGGGCCCCTGTGTCCAGAACAGAACTGAGTCCACGAAGTGCAGCTCCTGCTGTATTTAAGGACCCAGTCACGTGGGCAAACAACTGGCCTCGAGCTCTGTCAGTGATGAAACTCGTAGACATTCTCTAATTTAAAAATTTTTTGTTGCGCTTTGATGTATCACTCTTACTACATAACATATATATAACGTATACAAATTATTACAATGTAGATTGTAGAAAAATAGCCTACATAAACATTACATACATATTATATTTAAAATGATAAATAAAAATACATGGACTAATACTATTCTTGAGAGTACTATTATGTCTATTTTATGGTTGTGTGTTTATTATAAACATGACATTTGCCCCCAATATATAAGACAGAATAGATCATACTTATCTATACCATATTGTTATGGATTCATGTTCAGAAACGTGTTTTGTTAGAAATAAAAAGATAAGATAGGAACCAGAGAAATCAGGCCTTGAGTCCTCTGAACTTTGACCTACACCTTCACAAAGAAGTCAAAAACATTGTTGCTTTTCTCTTGCACAAACACCATAAATGACCAGGTTAAACAGTATGAAATAATATAGGATAACAGTAATATAACACAGGGACCTGGCCTGATTATAATATGGGTAAACAAAAGTAATGATAACCTACTGATAAAGCTTACTCAGGTACAGACTAGACTAGTGTTGAAATTGCTGGGACATTTTCCAGATATTTCTAAATGTTATTTTAATAATGTGGCTGCCAATGTCCACCCAGTCCTATCTATCAAGGGCCAATTTCAAGTTACACGCAAGAGATGAAGAAACATATTGAGCAGGTTCAGGTTTAATTCTTTTATCCAAAATGTATTTACAAAAACGTTTGAACATTGGTGAAGAGGGAACACAAAATGTATCTGAAACAGACAAAAGTCCATTTAGATCCACTTGTTGGAATGAGTATAATGGAGACTTTGTTAAGTAATATGGTATTTCAGGCAGTAAAATTATGCCACTTAGACAAAGTTTAGATGTACGTCCTTGTCCACGCCATAATTGGTTTTGTGCTTTTCAAAGAGATTGCTAAGTTCATCCATGTAATAATGGTGGAGGGCATCAAGTTCCTCTAGAGTTGGCTTAGGATTCCTCTTCACTCTGATTGGTCGTCCAACTGCAAAGGTATAAATCACAGTCTGTTTACTTTATGCAAAAAGAGACATTTTCATCTTGAAACATCAAAGAGCTGTACCAAATTGGTTACTGACAAAACTGCTGAACAACTAGTCACTGTTCTGACTGGACTGGGTTTAATTTTTTACTTTACTGAGTCAAATAACACATACATAATACATACATCCCTCAAAGTGAATAGTAAAAATAATTTCAAGATATTCTTCTTCATATTCATTTTATAAAAGATGAAAGTAAAAATAAATTGAAAAAAGTATTTGCATATGTTAAAATCAGCATATAGCAAGTACATTTTGGGATGTTTTTATTGTGCCAAATGTAGGTGTTACATTATTGGGAACCTCAGAGAAACGCCTGAAGTACCTTTAGTGTGTGTGTGTGTGTGTGTGTGTGTGTGTGTGTGTGTGTGTGTGTGTGTGTGGTTTACTTTTATTCTTTACTGCTGTCACATGGACTTTGACACTCACCTACAGTGTGGATGGGTTTTCTGTACGGCATGAGACCAAAGGAGTATTGGAAAATACCACGGGCATGGAAGAGAGGCAGAGAAATGCCCATAATGCCTTGCAGTCTTTCCTGTGTCCATCGTAGCCACGTGCCTCTGGAGTTATCCACTTGTTCAAACACTTCATTTTCCCCAAATGAGAAAATAGGCACCAGATGAGCGCTAAGAAAAGAGTTAAGGTGTTAAACTAATTACCAAGCTTTTGAATGTTCTGTACTGTGCATTTCATAGTTTTCACTTTCTAAAGTGCTGTTACAACAAACTGTGTGCTTTCCCAAGAATTCCCATAAGTAATTGAATGAATAAACCTCTGTTTTACTTCAGCCACATGTAACTTTCAATAAACTACAGACATCGTCCATTCACCAAGTCATAAGCGTTCAGAGAATTAGCTGTAGTGAATTGTGTCCCAGGGGCACTGTGCTCTCACCCCTGCTCCATGGCCATTTTGATGAAGCCTTTCTTCTTGGCAAGAAGGACATTGAAAGATCCAGGGTGTGCATCAAGGGCCTCTGGGGCACCACCAACAGCTATTACAACAGCTGTCCCACCACTGCACCGCTGGAGAGGATAGCTGGCACTCTCTTTGTCTGATGGAATCAGTCCTGTGATGTTGACATAAAAAGAGAGGTCAAGGATAGATGAAAGCTTGTGTAAATGTCACTAAAAACTTTTCTGGATCACTGGTGGGTGGTACCTGCACACATTATGTAGTCCCTGAAGAATGGGGATCTGAACCAGAGTGGCAGCATCAGCATGTGAGTCGTGAGCCCAGGAAACAGATGTTTGAAGCCGGTGGCATACACACAGAAGTTGGTGAATGCTCCAGCCACCAGGACTCCATGAGGGTGAAATCCCATCACATAGTTGTGCTTTGGGTCAAGGTCAGCAGTTTTCACAAGCTACAAGAACAGCAAAGAGTTGTGATCGTTGTACACCATGTTCAATCAAAAGTACACTTTAAGTGTTCCTGACCCTCTAACCTGGACTCATTTGTCCAGTGTTCACTGTTTGTCAACTGTTTACTTTTTCTTGAAACTCGAACTCTACACACTGTATACCACAACTACCAAAGTACAAGATGTAACCATGTCAAAAGTGTTCAACCAGGATACGAGGAGATTGTTTTTGTTCGTCCCACGGGGAAAACATCTACAATGTCGCATTTTTCTTGGAATAAACCAAACTTTAGTATATAAGTAATCTTTCTTTCTTTTTTATTATACACTTTCAAGATATTGAAGAAGATAAAAAACTATTAATATGACATAATTTGAACTTTTTTATGATAAATCAATGTAAGCTGCGTGTTTTGAAGGACTGGTTAGTGTTAAACTAGTTGTCACCGAATTAGCATCAATCTTCCAACACAGTGGGAACATCAGCTGGTGAAATTAGAGATGGTGGTGAATAAAAACCAATGGAACAAATTCAGCTCTTTAAACACTTTGGGCTTACATTGATGCTTTGTTTTGACTTAATGTAGCAAACAGTCAGATGACGGTGCTAATGACTCGCTCAGAACAGGCCAAGTTACACAAATTAAACACACTACTTTTACAAACCCAATATTAACAAGGCATTACATTTTTGTAATGCTTTTCGTACTATGGATTTGTATTAAGTCATGGCCCAATGGGGGACATTTTTTTCTCTCACATTATATTGAACAATCTCAATCTTTGATTCAATTTTTTGTATTGCCTTGTAAAATCAAAACAACAGGTATGTGATGTACATTGTTTTCGATTCAAAACAAAGTGAGGCTACCTGCAAGTGAAAGCCAGGTCCTTTTGGACCTCTGAAGCTACGCAGGGCAGGGCCTGGTTAATACTGTGAGGAAAGACCTCTAGGAACACCAGGTGCCATCAAAGATCTGCCATCATCTTATTACAAAATACATCAGTATCTCTGACATGGTAGCAAGAATGATGTGTGCAAAATTATGAGATGACCTTCTCATAATTGGATATCTTGTTCATATTTTCACGCTGACACAATTACTTATTTACTTTTGAATGTGCTGGAAATGGCAGCAAGTCCTAAGTAGCTCTGAAACAGTTGTTGTTTTGTGCTTTTGAAATTTTTTTGTATAGCTTTTTTCTACCTGAGATGTTGGTGCAGTACAGTGTTGATGGTTTTACACTGGTCCAGATTGGAACAGAGAGGATTCATGGTCCGAAGGAATGCTAACTTTTTGAAAAATGAAGCAAATAGCATTTTACTTTGGACTAGAGCGTAGAAAATGGTCCGAACCACGCGGCTACTCCACCTCTGCTGCTGTGACCCGTCCTGCTCCACCCAGAGGCTACTCCACCTCTGCTCCTGTGACCTGTCCTGCTCCACCCAGAGGCTACTCCACCTCTGCTGCTGTGACCCGTCCTGCTCCACCCAGAGGCTACTCCACCTCTGCTGCTGTGACCCGTCCTGCTCCACCCAGAGGCTACTCCACCTCTGCTGCTGTGACCTGTCCTGCTCCACCCAGAGGCTACTCCACCTCTGCTCCTGTGACCTGTCCTGCTCCACCCAGAGGCTACTCCACCTCTGCTGCTGTGACCCGTCCTGCTCCACCCAGAGGCTACTCCACCTCTGCTGCTGTGACCTGTCCTGCTCCACCCAGAGGCTACTCCACCTCTGCTGCTGTGACCCGTCCTGCTCCACCCAGAGGCTACTCCACCTCTGCTGCTGTGACCTGTCCTGCTCCACCCAGAGGCTACTCCACCTCTGCTGCTGTGACCCGTCCTGCTCCACCCAGACGCTACTACACCTCTTCTGCTGTGACCTGAAGGGCTGTTGCTGATTATTACTAATTTAAACTTTTTAGAATGATCAATTTTATTTTTTATTTTTGCTGCTACTGGACACCTGAATTTCTCCAACAGGTATCAATAAAGTATCTATCTAATATCCAAAATCGCCCTGCAACAGCTGTGAGGTATTAACTTTTTTTTAAATTACACAGCATTATTCTATAATCTATTTTTCTATAAGTGACAGTTGTAACAATTGCTTGAAAACATACGTACATAGAATGGCAAATTGTAATGCAATAAATGCTGGCAACCTTATTGGCCACCAAGTCTGCTGAGAGTGATAAGACCCTCTGATAACAGATTAGATCAATAGCACTGGGGCTGAAGGCCTCACCTCATCTCCTTCCATAACCTCTGCAGGTAAATGCAGCATACGCCCATTCCTGGCCATGCAGTATATACTATTATATATCACTATTCCATGTCAGAACCTCACCTTAACGGGGAAATATTCACGCATGTAGTCCCATAGTTTGAGACCACACAGGAAAGGAACTCTGCGGCCCCCTCGAGATGGAGTGTCATAGTCGAGGAACCACCAGACGCAGTACAGAACACTGATCAACCAGAATCTGGTGAACAGCAAGTAGAAGAAGAGGGCGATGCAGAGGGGCGCTAAAGAGACCAGACAACAGATTCACAGCCATTATTATTATTATTATTATTATTATCATTCACAATATTCTTGACAAATATACAGATGACTTGTGCATATTGATATCATTTCATATTCACTTTCAAAATCACAAAAATCTCCATTTGGAAAATATGTCAAAAAGTTGTATCCCTCTAGATGCAATTTTCAATAGGTTTTTTTGAATGGCAGCAGAATGACAGGATGAAACTTTAAATGTATAGCACTAATATATATCTGGATTATCATAAATGGTTTGTGCTAAAAGAGCAAATATGTACACCTTGATGATATTTTTCTGATAGGACAAACCCTTGTGAACCATTCAACCGTGAACAATTAATTTAGTCTTAAGTTAAAGTTTTTTTTATACAAACACAGTAGGGAATGTTGCACGTTTTCAAGTTCACTGTGATAACAATAAGTTTAGAAGAAAATTAATCAAGTTAGGCACAAGCAAATATTATCAAGAACTTATGTATTGTGAAAAAAAGATTAAAACAAGAAAAACAAGAAATGCATAAACAGAGAGACAGTACCATGTTCATACAATTACAACTCATCAACTACAAACATGGCGGCACGGTGGCTGAGTGGATAGCACTCTCGCCTCTCAGCAAGAAGGTCCTGGGTTCGAATCCCGGCCGGACCAGGGCCTTTCTGAGTGGAGTTTGCATGTTCTCCCCGTGTCTGCGTAGGTTTCCTCCGGGTACTCCGGTTTCCCCTACCACTAAAAATATGTACAATATGTCTGGCATGCGCCTCCTGTTCGGCGACCCCGCTCCCATCTCTGAGGAGTGAGAGGACAAATGCCCAAAAAATAAAAATTGTAAACCGCTTTGTGACTCTGGTCTGTGAAAAGCGGTATATAAATAAAGCTTACTTACTTAACATAGAATAGATACATGGATTCCCACTTAAAAAATATTAAAACTCTGCACAAACCTCTTTTTACAGCTAGTGAAGAAGTCTTTTTGAAGCACTCACATTGAACACAATTAAAATCACCCTCTTCTTGTCATATAGATACTTTTACTTGGAGTGCAATGTTTCCAGTTAGCATTTTTAAAGGCAGGGTAGGGTTATGTGACCTGTTACGGTTGAAGGAATAGCACAATATAAACACAACCTCACCTAAAGCCAGAAAGGAGAACACCCAAAACAGCACCACAGCGGTCTGCAGTCTCCTATCCAGGGGCACATGCAAAGGGGCAAAATCAATCTTCATGTTTCAGAAGAGAGCCAGGACCAAGGAGCCGCAACCACAGGAGAAGGAGCAGTAAGACTGAGGTGAGTCCAAAGTCTCTTCTCAACACCACGGATCTGTATTGACAAGCTTATCTCAAGGCACTCAGAACTTTGCCAATAGCAGAAGACTTTTGACCCAGTAGTGAAACCACAGCATTTTTGTTTTGTTTATGTATATATGAATATGAAATATGTTTATTTTAATGTGAAAACATGTATCGAGATTGTTAGGAAATCTACAGATAAAATCCATGTTTTTATTGCCATACTTTCAAGTGATAAACAAAACATAAATATAGCACCATCTTGTTGAGTAATGAAGGAACTGCATCCTCTATGTCAGTTCCATGGTCCTCAAAACGGTCCTCAAAGGTCGGCGTAGCTGCAGATTTTCATTCCAACCGGACAGAGCGCACCAAAATTCACTCATTTATTTTCATAAAGTCTTAAAGTTAGCACTGAACTCACTTGAAGAAATAATAGTGGTTGAGGGCTGAAATCTATATCAAAAGTCAGACTTCACTGTCGAGCTACTTTCTCTGTATTCCCTGGACCAATCAACATGAAACAAAAACTAACTTAAAGTCCCACATCTTTTTCAGACTATATCAACTATGGGCTGATTTGTTTCTCATAAAAGGTGCCTAGGAGTGTTGGAAAATGTACTTTCAGATATGCCAGGTTTGTGGATCTACTCACTAAAAATACTGATCTGAGAAATTATTATCTATTTCAAAATGTATTTCAGTAATGGCAGGTGCCCTCCAACTGAAATAGAATTTTACAGGTTTCTTCCATCTAAGTTAAAAGACCCATCAGCGCATGGATGTTATGACCAGAGAAGGCGTAGGTTCCGCTATAAATCTGGAGCATTTTTTAACGAAATCATGTCATAAACAAGCCAATTAACTTGGTCGTTTTTTTTTGCAAAGCTAATCACTGAACACAATATAGGTTCCTTGGTCTTCAAAATAATGGTTTAATCCGTTGGGCTCATGTGCCTCCCATTGAACTGGCTGTGCCCTATATTCATCTCAATAATGGCGTATACAGCCTATTTGATTCTGTGTATTGTGCGTTAAACCCTGTATCAGTGACACAGAGCCAGGGCTTCTGTGAGCTTTTACTTTGTCTCTTACGTGGATGTTGTGCTTACGTTGTTCTATTGGCCGTGAATAGTGCGCTGCGGATGCTGAGCAGGCGGGCGGGGTTGTCTTTCCTTACTGTGACCAGTGATGATGAAGCAAGAGCTACGGGACAAACTCAATCTGTAGAACCAGGAGCATCAGTGCAACGGAACACCAACATAACAGAACATTCCTTTAATATGAATGTATTCACAAAGGAAATCTGACTTCAATCCATTCCCCCAGCCCATCTAACGAACGGACATCTTGTTTCTGCGTGCTAAACGGTGAGCTTGTTCCTGTTGTTAAAACTGTCTTCATATCCACGGCCGTGTTCGCTCTCGGCTCACCATGGCCTGGCCCTGCATCACCAGGGCGTGCTGCATGGCCCGCTTTTGGAACCAGCTGGATAAGGCTGACATCGCTGTGCCTTTGGTCTTCACCAAATACACGGACGTCTCCGAGATGAAGCACGTTCAGCTGCAACCCTCTCCCCGGGTACGGGTCGCCATAGAAACGCAGCCGTCTCAGGCGCATCCTGCCCGCGGGGGCACGGGGCGCACCGGGAGCCAGCGCAGGTGCTTTTCCGAGGAGCGCGCCTGCAGCTCCGTGATGCGCGAGGACTTTAAGCACTGGACCGTGCGCCCGGAGCCAAGCTGCAAGCCCCGGAACGAGTACCACGAACCGGAGACACCGTTCAATAGCGAAACGCAGTACCAGAAGGACTTCAAGCCCTGGCCTATTCCCAAACGGGACCACCCCTGTATACCCAGAACCCCAGCGAACATCTCCAGAGGAGATGACCGCACTCCACACAGGTCCAGGCTTGCGAAGCATCAGGCCCAGGCTGTCAAGGACACCGGTGTGGAGAAAAGTGCTATCGCGGACAGAGTGCAGGAGAAAGACCTTGTGCGGAGCCAAAGGAAACATTGCACTTTTCAGCAAGATGGGCAGAAGAAAGTGGGGGTGGAAGGAGAGGGCAAAGGCCGACCGGTGGACGCAGTCAACAGGCAGATCAAACAGGAGATCACAACTGGCAGCTCATACAGGTGAGCATTCTAGTCTGCATGTGAGAGAGATGCACCAATCAGGTGACACAGCAGAGGTCAACCAGAGACAGGTCTGTGAGTGAGTGTCAGGCAGATATCTCCCTATAAAACGTTTTCAAAAACATTATGCACTGTAACCAACTAATGAAATCCAATTTTAGAGACAAAAAGGTTAAAATGCACATTCTAGAGAATTACTATTTCTCCAGTGTTATGACTTTGGTCAAATGCAGTCTTTTATTTTAATTATGACTGAGCAACATTAGCATGTTAGCTCATACAAAGGCACTTTTATGTGTATTGTGACACATTTGGGCTGGTGATACATTGGATATAGGTGATGTGCATCTATCTGAAAGCTGTGTAACATACAGTCGTCTGCTCACATACTCAGCAGTGTGGCGTGAGATTGTCCTGATGCCTGGAGCCAATACCAGGACCCGATACCACAAGCACTTGGTATTGAGGCAGATATCCAATACTGGTATCAGTGCATCCATAAAATATTATGTGATATTACACATTTGTACTTGTCAATTTAGCAGTATTTTGTAAATCAGAATTTTGTGTTGGACAAGATGCCCATCACTTAACAAAATGTTCCAAACTCTGGACTTTGCAAAGATGTTAGGTAAAAACTTGAGCTTTTTAAATACGTTTTAGTCAAATGTCATGCAAGAATTAAAAAAAATAAACCCGCTTTATATGTATCATATTGGTGATGTGAAAAAGGCAGGAAGCCAGCACCTGATAGTTTTGGTCCATTGAGTCAATCTGCTGTTATTCATTATGCAATATTCCTCAGGGATGAAAGAACGTACGATATAACGTCACAGCAGCGTGATCAAGCATCACTGGGCTAGTATTGTTATTTTTGATACTTTGCCTAGTAAACAGATGTTTACTGGGGTTATCCAGAACAGAGCAGGTCAAATGAGGAATTCATGAGTTTTGGCAATACTTTTTTACAGAATATCTGCAATAAAAGGTACTTTAATTTACACTACATGGCTCAATGTATTTATCAGATTTTGTAAATGAACTGTATTCTAAATATCACCCACAAAAAGAGATCCTTTATTTGTCCCACAGTGGGGACATTTCACTGTTGCATCACAAGTTATAGGACAGTAGGAATTTGGGGCACACAGCACAAGATAAGTGAACAATAGCTACACTAATTAAATTATCCCAAAGATTTCTATTGGGGCCGTTTTGAAAAAGGTGTTGATTTTAGATTTGTTGTTGACAAATCCCCTGCAGAAAGATCAAGGCTATGCTCACACTTACAGAGCCGCCATCCTCCTGTGGACTCACCACCTGCAGGAGGATCTATGAGGGGCTGGTGCTATGTGACTTGGGTGGCAGCTCTGACTGCCACCCCCCCAACCCAGAAATGGATTAAGGGGTAGAAAATGGATGGATAGATGGATGTTGACAAAACTCTTGTATATTCAGATAATATGATTCCAGCTGGATTAGTCTGCAAATCTGGCAACAGATTTAGAGATGTTGCAATACCACCTTTGGCTTACAAACAAACAACAGCAAACAATTAATGGATGAGTATTTAGTGTAGCCGTTCCTATAGTCGGTACAGGACATTCATTTATAATAAGAGAGAAATGTGTGCTTATTACAGTTTAGGCTAGTATAACAATATAAATAATGTTTAGTTAAGGTATTGGGGGAATGGTGGGAACAAAATGCAGCATTGCACCTAAAAGACAAAATGTTACATATACTTAAATATCAAAATTTGCATTAAAAAAACCTAATATAAAATAGCTATAGCTCTTTTGTAAAGCTACAAGCTAACTATTGTTTGCAAATGTTCTTTTTCCTCAACTGCAGAGAAATATGCCACAGTGTTGTTAATTATAAAGGCAGACTGCAAAACACCTGCATGTCTTTGAGAAATAGCTTACGGTATTATGTTTGATGTGTTTGGCTTTCAGAGGGTGATGTTTGGGCTGTGAAGAGGGGAGTATATTTGGCTCAGTTGAAAATGGTCTTCTTATGGAGTGTTCTGAGCCTTGTATTCTTTTGACAGCAGCTCATGAATGCTCCAACACTTCCTGCTGCTGTGCTCGAGGACAAAGCTGAGGGAAAGGCCTTTGTTCTCTTTGAGGGAATATAACATCTCCAATTATACGAGGGCTCTAACAAGTCAATCAATTAATCACAATCTATTTATTATTGAAAGCAACAAGTTTAGTTATCGACACCTTTTAACCTTATTGGCTTCTATAATGACTGCAGAATGAAATGTGTTCACAAAGCATTTTCAAGCAAACAACCTAATGTGTGATGAGTCATCAACTCAATCAATCAATCAAATGTTATTTATAATGCGCTTTCACACAAGAAATGCAAAACCAACCCCTCCACCCAACCACCCAACAGATCCACCCTGGAACACATTTATTATTAACCCTAATAGATCCATGATTTAGCCCCACCGGCAACTATAGTTGCCGAAGTTTATCATTGTCATTTTCTACCCAGAGAAAAAAAAATCATAGGTATTAATGCAGGTTTTTCCTCTTATATGCTAGTAAACAACTTAGACAAAGTTATAGTTTAAAAAAAATATTTCTCCTGGTGCGTCACGTGACAGTGTCAGATATCAGTGACACCCGTGTCATTGAGTAAGACACGGGTGTCCAAACTTTTTAGTAAGAGGACCACACAATCATAAAACAAATGTAGGTACATAACAAAAGAGTCAACAACTGGATTCCAGAGTGTCTGACATTCACAGCAAGATATAGCATGACTGTATTGGTGGAGCTGAAGTTGGTTGGATGACACTGTCAAAGTGCCTCTATGGCGATTTTTTGTTAGCAGGAGAAGGCCACATAAAATGGCCCAGAGGGCCGCAATTGGCCCGGGGGCCTGAGTTTGGACATGCCTGGAGTAAGACGGTGTGCATGGCTGATGTCAGCAGGTTCAACAACCTCAAACACTGGTCTGAAACAGCGATAGAAAGTACAAGTACAAGTACAAGTACAAGCGATGCAAGTTCTGTGAGAAATGTGTTGTGCCGCTACATGTGGAGTGCTTCAAGTATCATACTGTGTGAGTCTGTGTATAGGGCAGAATACATTTACAGTATATAACATGGATATCTATAGTATACTTTCTTGAAATTACCCTTGGCATCAGTCCATGTTTTTTGCTGTTGGAAAAAAAAAGCAAAGGAAAATACTTGTAGGCTAATGCAATTTTTTTGATCGCCGATGGGAAATTTCAATTTTTGAAAAAAATTGTTTCGTATTTTAGAATAAAGAAACCGTTCAGGTTGTTTGTTGTTCTATAATTTAAAAAGGAGGAATCAATCACAATCAGTTTGGCTGATCACAACCTTTCTGGGTTGATTAGTTCCCAGCCCTAAAAATGCGGTTTTCTTCAAGGCAAGGTCCAAAATAAAAATAAAAAAAACAAATTTCCTGATTCTAGGGCACACAACTAATAACATTATATGCATTAATACTCTGAAAAAATGTGGGCACAAATGGGTTAAGTATATACACATACACAATTATCTTACAAAATGCTGTCCTTTTGTGACCAACTCCTGTGATACCAGTCGATAGTGTGCTTTGCTCATTAACAGACAGACTTGTCTATGGCGACTCAAACAACCTGTGTGATCATTATGTGCTTGCATCTATTTCTCATTAAAGTAACTTTTAATGGAACTTCCAGACGGCCTGATTAGTGCTGTAGTAGCGTATGCTGTACCAGTCTCCATTGGACAACTTTGCTAAAGCAGGAAACAACTCTCGCAGTTTGTAAGATAGAGACCAGGCCAATTCATCCCAGAGGACACAGAGTATTGAGCAAGAGCCAGGAGTGCACCAGCTGACACGCAAAGAAAAACTGCTCTGAGCTCAAACTACTGTGCGATGTTTGAGCTCAGAGCAGTTGAGCAGCTCAGAGCAGTGTGTTGATTCTATGACTACTCTACATAAGCGCTGCCAGGTTTTGTCTCAGCTGGAGTACATAATAATGAAAAACTGCTATGACCAGAAACCGTGACAAACACAACATACAGTCTCAGCAGGACCAGCTGTCCAGCATTAGATTCTGTACTTACTGTACCTCAAGGACACACAATGTGCAGTCCAAGTATAGGTGAAATTATAATGAACTGAAATTTCATTTGGCAATTGTCTTCTCAAATGAGAACGCATATTTAACTTGCCTTTACAAAATAGAAAACTGGAACAAAATTAGTTTAAAAAGTTATTCAAGTCAACAAAAAAAATGTGTATACCCCTAAATCATAACAGCAATATTCTTCAGGAAGTTGACAATTCATCAACATAGATCAGAGAATCAAACCACTCAAACATAAGAAATACAATACTAACAACAACATAGGAGCCACTAGTCCATTAGGGGCGGATCACCACTGTCCATTAATGCTAATCAAAGTCGCCACAGTCCTTAGACCCTCCTGCATAGACAAGAAACCCCCCCAAAACCCATTGTGGGCCTGAAAGACTCCCAGGAACAGACCATGGCGGCACGGTGGCTGAGTGGATAGCACTCTCGCCTCTCAGCAAGAAGGTCCTGGGTTCGAATCCCGGTCGGACCAGGGCCTTTCTGAGTGGAGTTTGCATGTTCTCCCCGTGTCTGCGTAGGTTTCCTCCGGGTACTCTGGTTTCCCCTACCACTAAAAATATGTCCAATAGTTCTGGCATGCGCCTCCTGTACTGGCGACCCCGCTCCCATCTCTGTGTGGAGTGAGAGACAAATGCCCAAAAATTGACAATTGTAAACCGCTTTGAGACTCAGATCTGCAGTGAAAAGGCGGTATATAAATACAAACTTACTTACTTACTTACTTACCATCTATAGATCAGGACTATAGGACTATGTACAGACTCAGGCTGTAGGACGAGGACAGAGTTATTCTTTATAGAACTTAATAGTTCCAAAGATTAAGAAATACAATAACTCTTTACATTTATCATTTTATAATTTTTGAATGCAGCAAGAAAATGGGTGAGAGGTGTAAGGTCAGAGAGTGTTTGGGCCTGTGTTTTCTCTGAGTATGTGTTTTGTGTTAGTGTTGTATGAGTGAGAGGGGTTAGATCCAAACGAGTGTCTGCTTCGTAAAGCCCCTTTTCAAGCTGTGTATTGCTGTATTTATTTGTCCATCCATCCATCCATCCATTTTCTACACCTTAATCCATTTCTGGGTTGGGGGCGTGGCAGTCAGAGATGCCACCCAAGTCACAGAGCACCAGCCCCTCACCGATCCTCTGCAGGTGGTGAGTCCACAGGAGAATGGTGATCTGTCTGTGAGAGCATAGCCTTGATCTTTCAGCGGGGGCTTTGGGCAAAGTGGCTCAAAGGCCAAAGGCCAATGCTCTACCAACTGAGCCACTGTCGGGATATTTTTGTGTATCCCATTTATTGTTTTTGTACTTGTAAACTAAGTCAAATATATTCAAACATTTTCCCTCCAGTGCCTGGCGTTCTGTTCCAGCTGACTGACCTTAAATGAAGTCAGTGTAGCAGTGTTGTACAGTCAAATCTACCATCCAACATTTACTGGCCCCTGAGGCTTTGAGCAGCGAGATCTTATGTTCAGCTCTTGGAACTAAGTACCCATTATTCTCCTTTAGAGATATGTTACCTTGATATGTCATTCTTTCAAGCCTCCTCAGTGTTTAAATGTTTTGTTAAGAGAGTACCAAGCGCATTGTGACCCAGAGACACTGTGTCATTGTCTGGTCATATGTCGATGAATAGTAGCTATAGTTGTGCGTTTTGCATGGTGATTTCACAGTCTGTCTCTGTCTGTGTGTTGTGGTGCCATGTGGGGACTTTACACCCTTGGACTTGGACGTTGTATAAGCTTCCGCAGGAATGGTGCATCTTGACCCCTGTGTTGAAAGTGGACTTGGTACAATTATGTAACACCTCTATTGTGCACCACTGTGAGTTTACTGGTGAGGACTGTTGTTTTTCTGTAGTTTAAGAATCTATTATATCATTGTTGTGCTTTCCCTTTTCATGTAAGTTTTATTCCAATTAGAAATCTGGCATTCTGTAAATTCCACTTGCTCTCATGGTTTTTTTTTAATTTATTTTTTATTATCTTCGTTTTCTTATTATTTTTACCTTGTGTTATAGCAAGGCAAGATATTTGTATAGCACGGTTCATACACAAGGCAACTGAAAGTGCTTAACAAAACAAGAAGTATCAAATAAACTTTTATCTATAATTTTAAATAATAGATCTTGTCTATAATGTCCTCTTTATCGTAATATTCTGCTTTAATGTTTGCAATGATGACTATTACATTTCCCCACTGAGGGTTATCTTGTCTTAAATCATCTTTGTAAAATGTATTATCTGTTATTGAATTGAAATGTTATCTGTTCAAACCACTGCTACCATATCTGTAAAGAGATACATATATCTGAAGGGTCTTTGTGAACAAAGTAGAGAAAGCAAGATTAAGTGCAAATGAATAGAAACCGCAATTCTAGTGGTTGCTTACAGAACATGAAATGGCTGCAAATATTTAAATGCTTTGAAAAACAACATCATCTTGTTCTTCCTAAAAGATGCTCACTCAACAGTTTAACAAGCCAACATTCTTTACCTCCAATTTTATTTTTCAAAAGTGGGTGACGTGTCTTGCCTAAGGACACAACAACAGCTGGCACTTTAAGATAACATAGACTTTATTGATCTCACACAGGAGAAATTTACAGCTGCCCTTTGGCACCTGGTTTTCTCAGAGGTCTCCCATCACGGAGATCTGACGGTTTCATTTTTTCACATGCAGTTGGAGCCGTTATTAGTCATGTGCGCAACTTGTCAAAGTGAATAGTGGACAGGTTTTAACTTTTAAACTTAAATGTATCAATCCACCTAACGTGTGGCTTTCTTAACTGATTTAAGGGCGACAGTAGCTCAGTTGGTAGAGCATTGGCCTTTGAGCCAGAGGGTCGTGGGTTTGAGCCTGACTTTCACCATCGACTCCCACTGTCTGCTGTCGTTGTGTCCTTGGCAAGACACTTAACCTCTGGGAACACCTGGTGCCACAGTGCGGCTGTAAAGTGCTGTTGTGTCCTTAGCCAAGACACTTCACCCCCATTGCCTGAATGAGTGGTGTGTGCGTGAATGGTTGGTGGTGGTCGGAGGGGCCGATGGCACATACTGGTTGCCTCGCTTCTGTCAGTGTGCCCCAGGGCAGCTGCGGCTACAGTAGTAGTTTATCACCACCGTGTATGGAGTGAAAGAATAATGCCATTTAAAGCATCTTTGAGTATCCAAAAAAGTGCTATATAAAACCGAATTTATTTTTATTTTTATTTTAGATTGGCCGAGCTTCATAGTATCCAACCTAAGGTGCTGGTTCTACAGTGTTCCGAACAAAACAAAACAAACTTTAAAAGATGATTGATCTTTTTGCATTTCTGATGTTCTAACCAGTTCGGAGGAAACCTGTGCTCCGTTGCCCCAACTCAGGGCAGCAGTGGCACCAAAAACTAGTGACTGAACTGTAGAAATTTATGCAGAGGCCTGGGAATGTTGTTTCAGCACAAGACTTGCTTTATTGTTGGTTCACAGCACTAGTGACACGACCAGAGCTTCAGAGTTTAGGTCGCCAGTGTTAAAGTACTGACTTCAGCAGACTGTTATTAAGTCAAACAGTCTTATAAAAGATCCATAGATCAATAGAGGTTATTGATATGACGTTATTCATCACTATTTGTTTGTGCACAGAAATGAATTCAGAGCCTACAAAGATGTCACACCGGCAAAGATGATCCGAGCAAAGTCTCAGTATCTGCCTCCAAACGAGAAAACCAACTTAGAGACCAGCTACAACGCCACATATAAAGGCGCGCCACTCCAGCCTGTCGACAATAAGGCCCAGGAGAGGAGGAGAATACGCAGTTTGTACAGCGAGCCTTACGTAGACCCCACGAAACAGGTAAGACCCTCTTGGCAGACTCATCTCACGTCACTTAATGCCGTTTTATAATCACTATTCACTTTACACGCATCCATCAATCTCACCCAAACAATCTGACGTTTTTAGTTTGACAGGTATAGCCTACCCCGCTCTAAACCCAAAAGGTCTGGAGCTACAACCGCAGGCCAGAGCAAGCCAGTGAAGAAGGCCAGAGATAAGCAGAGCGCAACGGCGAGAGGCAGCAAGAAGACTGCCTCAGAGAACAAGCCTGACCGGCCAGCAGTGGGAGACAAGGAGAAAAGTAAAGAGATGAACAACAAACTGGCTGAGGCAAAAGAGTAAAATCATTAAGCCCTACTTTTTTATTTATTGATTAGAGGGAAATGCAAAAAACGGAGGCTGCAAAATGATCTTTCTGTTACAATAATTTGTATCCACCTCTTCTCTGTCTACCCTCTCTACCTCTTGGCTAACTTTGTATGCTTACAATAAGATTTTGGAGTTTAGACATAACATTTGCTATTGCATCGAGTGGGCACGAGCATCTTCTGTTCTCTTCCATCCGATGCCGCCACCCACCTACTCTCTGCAGGCCTCCATCTTGTGGTTACCATGGTTACAGGCTGCCTGGCTAACCAGTAGATGTCTATTGATGCATGCACCCATTGACAAGCAATTTGTTTTTTTGATCAACTGTGCAGATTGCTTTGTTGGGTTTTATCAAGGATTTTGTTTTGGCAACATACAAAAAGAAAATAATTATGGTACAAAGTAAAATCTTTGATAAATATCTTGCTTGGGATATCATAAATGTGTGACTGCTTTATCTGCTTTGTATGATTATGTTTGCAATTAAACTTATGTCTGTGTGCTATGTATTAGCCAATCACAAAGCTTTGTACACTGTGACTTTGACAATGTCTCATCTATTGCACATTTTTGCCATGTACTGTTTTATTTTGCATTCCTTGGAAGATTCTCTGGATGCATTTTTTCCCAGTCACCAGTCATGTACATGTATAGCATCTGTAGGTGGTGGTTCAACACATGTGAGGCCATTTTTGATCAAGTAGAATTGTTTGTATGGATACGGTGTTGTGACGAGGAAACTGGGATAAAGTCAAAATGTAAGTTAATGCAGTTCATTCTTAGTAAGATTCTCTAAAAACATACTTTCAAAACATAGCTGGTCACAGTTAAAAGTGACAACACTGCCATAGACATGTTACATATTGAATACATATCTATGTACAATAGGGATGTAAAATATATATATATTTTCACATTACACTAAGAAAAAGCTAATATTGTGTAATCTTATATGCTATACTCTGTTGCAGCTAATGTGTTTTTATTATAATTTAAGTATTGAGTTGGTTGGGGTATTTATTGGTTTAAGTAAGTATCTTGCACAATGTTATTCCTGTAAAAGTGGCTCAAAAGAATGTCTAAAACACTGTAAATAGTTATTCCTAATTGCACCATTCACTGTTTACTAGGCTAAATTCTTTGGTTGCATCTCGTTCTGTAAATCTTTTGTTAGTATGCACACTGACTTATCTTAAATTAGCTGTTATTAATACAACATTAAATTAACTTTTAATGTTTAATCACAGTGCAATATTCTTGGACTTTGTTTTGTAATCCATAGTTTATTTGAGTTCTCATTCGTGTGCACCATGAATACCTGACTGTGTGCATTAGCTCTGCCATCATGTTCCCTGGATGACTGTTTGCCCTGTCTGAATCAGCAGCTGCACCTCTCCGCTGTTGTGCTGAGCTCATGGTCCATCACTAGTATTTTGCAGCCTTTGGTTGGGAAAGTCTTGTCATGTATCAGCAGCTGGCAACAAACAGTAGATGCTAACCGTGATTAACACAACATACATGTAAACCTGGTGCTAAGTAAACATGTAAGAATAGAAAGCTTGGCTCAGTAAGTTGTGTAATGGGATCTGGATATATAATAATTGACTGTGACGTGCTTGTGTTTTTATCTGCTTGCTCATATTGAAAGAAATAGATAAATAAATGAAAAAGCAGAAAATTTAAATTGTCTTGATTTTTTTTTTTTTGTTGGAACGTAAGAGTTAGTGGTTGCAGGGATCTGTCTGTGTTTTCTGTCAGTCTGTCTCAAACAGACCAAAACAACATTTTCAATCCACATGGAAGAGAATCATGCTCTCACTACGTTCACTCATTGAAGCCTGTGCTGCCTTCTGCTATGAGCTATGACATCCAGACCAAGCCCTGCTTGTTGCATAAAAGGAATTTCTAAAATATTAATTTCATATTTTTCATATTATTACTATAATTTTCCAAAAAGTCAGCAGCAACACGCATGGCAAAGAGATGTGAAGCTTATTTCAGAAGCTCCATGTGCATAACTTGCATTGTTTATTTATGTAAGAGCAGTATCGTTACGCTGTGACCATTTGTCAATCAACTACTATGCATTATAAGAATTTATATTTTAGAAATGTTTCAAGTTTGATGTGTGCTAATGAGTGGCCTTTTGATTCATTTGAAGGGTTGTGCTAAAACAGTACCACTACATACAACTTTGCCAGCCAATCCAAGATATAGGCTGGGTGCAGACTCTAAAACAACACCTGTGGGGCTGTGCTCTCCCTGATCCCAGGTAACAGTAAGGAAAACAAATAACTAAAATTACAGTCTAATACATACAAGTTGTGCTTACATTTTGAGTTGATATTTTCTATTAGCATACTTTTCTTCTTCTTTTCTGAAGCACTTTGGTCAACTCATATTACATTGTATTTCTCTTCCATATGGACATCAGAGTAGGCTGGCTAAATGATCGTCTGAAGCCGCAACTAATACATGAAAGCTCCTTAAGACCAATGTTCTTAATGAGTTTGTGGTCAGCCAGCCACACCCAAACATTGTATGCAGACTGCATGTCCATAAAGTGTACACACATTTAAATTTTGTCTTATTATTTCACAAAGAAAGGAACGATTTATTACATTTTCATGTTTATGTTTTTATTATTTTGGCATGCTTCCACAGTTTTGTGTTTGAACTGCAACAATTGTATATAAAATACTTTAGACAGATTTTACATGTAATGCAAGTATTACATGACTTTCCTATAATACAAAAATAATTGTTTGATGCAAGTCTTTTTGCAAAGGACACCCTGAGACCCTCATTACGTGATTAATAATCTGCACTATATATTCTTTTCAATAGACTTTGCACTATATATTCTTTTCAATAGACTTTATGTTTGTGGGATATTTATGTCCGCAATTCCCAAAATGAGTGGTCACAGGGTGCTCAGCTCACCAGTCCAATGACTTGAGTTGTGGCCTCATCACATGTCTTTTTTGTTTTCTCTCCTCTTGCCGTCTTAATGATGTGCTGCCTCCTAGAGATGCTAAGGACAAGCCTCTCCGACCCGGTAATCATCATTCCTCGGGTGCTTCTGGAGGAGAACCACAACAACCACTGCTGGACGGACTGGAGCCACGGAGAAGCAGTGTACGCTTTGCCCTAGATGTCAAACAGACTGATTAGTCAGTGATACTATAGCACAGGCCAAGGCAGCTGGTCTTGACTTTAGAATATTTAATTATGTTTAATAGATACATTAAGCACATCTCATTACACAAGGTCAGAAGCTCCAGTCCCTATGAGCTTCTAACATTTCAATTGCGCATGTTCTTTGCTTTTTTAATTTACAGTAACTTATTGCTATGGTGCTAATTCATTTGGATTAACATATACTCTTATGCCAGAGACATGGTAACCAATCATAAAGTCAATACATCCTCAATGTACTGTACATTTGGTTTACTGATTTTAGTGCTAATAAAATGGTACAATAGAGGACGATTGAATACTGTTGATTTTAACTTTCTCTTCTTGAACATGTCAAACGTGTCAATGTAAGGTTGTTGTGTTTCACATCAAATGTAAACAGGGGCTACTCATTGGCCTTGAACCTGAAGGTCGTGGGTTCGAGCCCACCACAGGACCTTCTCCACCGACTTCCACTGATGTCTCATGTTGTTGTGTCCTTGGGCAAGACACTTAACCCCACTTTGCCTGATGCCCCTGCTGAAAGATCAAGGCTGTGTTGTCATCGACAAAGCAGCCATCCTCCTGTGGAGTCACCACCTGCAGGAGGATCAGTGAGGGGCTGGTGCACTGACTGAATTGGGTGCAACTCTGACTGCCCGCCCTCCCGACCCAGAAATGGATTAAGGGGAAGAAGATGGATGGATGTAAACTACTAGACAATGATTCTTCCTGCCATTGTAAACACAATGGTAATAATAATAATAACATAATATTGTTGTTTTGTATATATGTCATTATTTCTGTGGTGGATAAAGTACTAGTCAAGATAATTCCCTATTATACCCAATTAATCCCATGCCATAAAAGTATTTACAACATCAAAAATATACTGATGAAAAAGTACATATTACGTGGAAAAAATCTAAGTAGAAGTATTAAAATCAAGGAAATGATTGGCAGAGTTGAATGAATGTGGCAACAACAAAAAATCCAATTCAAAGAATAAAACTCTTAAAACTTTGAATGCAGCACAAATAATTTTGTAAAGTACCAATATAAACTGTTGTGTGAACAACAGCTAATTGTTGTTCACAACAAATGCTAAGTATTGTTTAATTGTGTGTGCTTTACAAAGCTAGGAATGCTACACGTAATCATTTATTTAACTGTTGGACATTCTACAGCAACTAGAAGAAAGAGATTACTGCCTGTGATGTAGCTATAGGTAAAATTATGTCTGGTCTATTATTATCTTTATTCAACAAAGAAGGATTGTGACTATGCAAATCTGTTTAATTCATGATGACAAACACATTAAAACATCTGGTATGAAGGCAGGAGTCGCAGGACCTTTGTAACTCGATGTCTGACAATCTTGCTGTGTCCGGCTAGCATACAAACAAACTCAACATAAACGCAGGAGTATATTGGCCTACAATTCCTTTCTAAATATATAAATGGTTTTGTCTGACTGCATGACATCCAAGAATCCAGGAAAGAGAAGAGGGTGGATGTCCAATGGTGCAGAGTAGATATCACGTTGCAGCAACACTTTGTTTAGCCTGTTCGGTTTCCTCGAAAGTGGATATGAAATCCAGAAGTGATGGCAGAAACCATATAATTAAATATATATTATTGTGAATATTCATATAATATGCTCAGTGTAATTGTGTATCTGTCTCGTCACGCTTTATATCAGACGCATTTTCTGCTCATTCTGGTTCCTTTGATGGGGCTGCCCTCTCCATCCCTCTTCATCCATGAGCCGTTGCCACGGGTTACCAGGTCGACGCTGAGGAGGCGGGGCCGACGTACGAGCCTCAGAAGGTAGCAGAACATTCAGCTGTTAGGATATTCAAAAAATAACTCTCACACAACAACACTAGTTAGTTAACTTAAAACGGTACGTTAGCCACGTGCCAATTAACGGCTTGTCTTAACTAGCTAACCCATGGGTCTAAATCCACGCTCATCTTTATTTTTTTTTGTTCTGGATTACGAAATAACGGAATGCAATGTAAGTGAGCTAATCAATACTTTCAAAAACTTGTTTTCATGGATGTACTGTAGGAAGCCATTTTACAGTCGCCCCGCCAATTTTTTTTATAGGATGGCCGGAGCAAACCTGTGATTGGCTTGTTTCGTCAAGCCATGGTGCTCATGTGTCAGGTTAAGTCCAGGCGTTGGTTAAAGTCGGTCAAAGAGAAGGGAATTGGCTAACGGCTAGCCAATTAGGAAATTGACAATCGCACAAGCTGGCCAACGAATGCCTCTCTTCCCCCGTCTTCCTGTGAAAAATACATGTGCAAAAGAGAGTAGGTAGCGCCCTCAAGTGGCTGTTTATTGTAATGACGTTTGCTCGGTCAATTTTAACATACACCCGAGTGACTCAATACAATTATGCGTTCCCTTGAGTTATTACCATGACTCTAAACCATAAAGCTCTAAAGTTTAAAGTTCGATATGGCAAAGTTAGCAGTGCAAAAGCTGAACAAGTTAAAGTGCTCTTCTTCAAGATGGTGTAATTAATGTCTATGCACTAAAAGTAAGATATGTGAAATTTTCCTCTTTGGGTTTGTTGTTGAAGTTGTAATGTCCGATACGATTTCTTTGGTAAAAGAAAATACAGACAAAACCAATGATAAAGAATATTGCCAGGCCCACACCGAGACAGGCCAAGCCAATGATGGTTATTTTGTCAAGCTCATCTTCAAAGAACTCTGCGAAACACAAAGGGAACTGTAAATGTCTTGATTTGTAGGTAATATTGAAATAATAGCGTAAATAATCATGACATAATTTCTTACCGTCATTGAGTCTGAGCCGAGGCCCATAACTCCCCAGTGCTGTTCCAACGGTATTGGCAAAGTCAGAGCGGCTTGTTCTTTGCAAACAGTCCTAAATGAAATATTATCTTGGTGAGTATCGTGTATTTGTTCTTCATTCTCTGCACAGTATTGGTAAGCTACTAATGCCATTACACCTGAACCTCCAGCCTCCCCCAACCATTCTCTCATCAAATTCACCCCTGGCAATGTGGTTGTATTCTGCCAACAGTTTAGCACTTTACAGCCTTTCTATGGGATTTGGCGTTCCCGGGAACCTCTTATCCTAGTACCGGTACTAACCAGGCCCTGCACATTAGACTTGACACCATTAGGCTTTGCTAAGCAAATATGGCCACACATCCGTCCTTTTAAATACCCGTCCATTAGACAAAAATATGTCATTATTAATTGTGTGGATGCCGGCAGAAACATGATTTTAATATATTAACTTCTGCTGCTTTACTCACAGGCACACAGGAGCCCAACTCGATCTCCACACATATTTCCACCTGGCAGTGCAGATAGATGATACTGAGGTCGACAAAGGACAGAATCTGCACTGACAATCTAGAAGAGCTGGTATTTCCATTGGTTATAACAGTGGTAAAAGGATTCATTGAGCACCTGTTGGTCAAATAGGAGCAGGTAAGTGGTCATAATATTGATATTATCATGTCACAGCTTATTGCAAACCTGTTCTGCATGAATATGTAGCTGGACACAAGTGCAGGGCTTGGGGTGGAGGTGGCCCAGCACTTGTTGATGACCACTTTGATCCTCTCCACAGTGGTATTGAGGCTGACCACCAACACAAGTGCCTCACTGGGCGACAGACTGTAGTTATGAGGCAAAGGCACCGTGCCATTCATCAACTGCACACTCAACTGGAACATCCCTGAGCCTGTGATAACGTCCTTGATCATATCATACCTGTATGAGAGTAACAGTATTCAATCAAACTAGTTCCTTTTTCACAAATCATGTATATTTGAAGATGCTTCACAATGGTGGTAAACCAATCATCCTTACAGCACTTTCATACTAGGCAATGGCGGCCTTGCCTAAGGACACTTCACATGCAGTAATGGCGACAGATATGATACATTTAGGAATAACCCATACATGAAATGAAGGGAAAGCGAATGAAAGTAATTACACTTAGTCTGGCACATAATAAACAAACTGTAAAATAATGATCTGTTCAAAACCCTTTTATGACTCTTGCCTATTTGCTTTAAAACACTTGAAAATATCAGAAAAAATCCAATTGAATCTGTTTTAGGACCTTTTGAGTGAAGCTCAGGTTCTGCACGTGTGGCCTCTGTTAACTTTTCTCTAATTTTAAGTGGGACCAATGTTGACACATATAAAATACATGTATAATCCCTATTACTTTTCATGCATGTTTAAATAAAAAAAACAATTTAGAGTTTGGAGTTCAAACTGGCCCCAGAATGTTTGACTGGAAATATGAACTTTTGATGTTAATCATTCACATTTCCGTGAGTTTGACAAAGTTTTCATAGTTTCAGAGTTTCATCAATAGTTTCATAGTTTCAAAAATATAAACTATAGTATAATTCTGTTGTTCTACTAATCACATTTTATTGTCTCTTATCTACTAATTATGCCCAAAAGCTTAGTATTAACAGATGACAGAGGTTAGAGATTTGGCATTTTGATATACCGGTAGTTCATACTAGAATGATATATTTATTTACCTAAAATAACAGTCGTGCCATGACCATCATTGAAATGTTGTTATTTACCCCATTGAGCTGGAGCCTGATGTAATGAGCACATTTTTCATGTATGTGCACATGACGGGGATCTGCAACCGTATCTTAGGCACTTCTCTAGTGTTTATGGTGTTAAACAGGGTCACTGAAGCTGTATAGAAGCTGTCATTCTGAAGAACAAAAATAACTGGTTATTGACAGTTTAATGTATAATTAAATGTGCAACTCACATGCATCAGAAGAGTATTGCACTCATCCCAATCCACTGTCAGCTGGGCATGAGTGGAGTTTCCTCCATTTACCCTACAATCCACCATGCCCAGGTATAGTGCTGTGTCAGTGATTTGACTGCTTTGGAGGAAATCCCTGGCCACAGTAACGGTAATAGAGGCCATGTTGCAGTTCACTGTGATGGCCTCTGATGCAGAGAGGTTGGCTGTGATGATGATGGGGTGATGGGAGGAACTGGTAGTTGTGTTGGACATGGTTCTGGCTGTTGTTGAACTTGTTGTAGGGGTATTAGTTGATGTCATTGGATAACCGCTTTTTGCAGTGGTTGTAGAAAGTGTGGATGGTGGTGACGTGTTTTTAGATGTCACGGCAACAGATGCTATTGTGGTAACAGTAGATATCAGAGCAGCAGAGATAGATGTCATGGAAGCTGTTGTAGCGGTTGGTGGGGCAGCAGTGAAGGTTGTTGAGGAAACTGGGGTGGTAGGTGGGGCAACAGTTGTAGTTAGCAAGGCTGTAGTGCTGGTTGTTGTCAGGGGCACAGTGCTGGTTATATGGGGTTTGGTTATTGTAAGGGTAACAGTGCTGGTGGTTGTTGGGACTGCAGGGGTGGTTGTATGGGCTTTGGTTGTTGCCAGACCAACAGTGGTGGTTGAATGGGGTGTGGTTGATGTCAGGGCAGCAGTGGTGGTGGTTGTATGGAGTTTGGTTGTTGTCAGAGTTGCAGCCATGGAGGTGGTGGTGATTGTTGGGGCAGCAGTGGTGGTTGAATAGGGTGTGGTTGATGTCAGGGCAGCAGTGGTGGTGGTAATTGTAGGGGCAGCGGTGGTGGTTGTATGAGGTTTCGTTGTTGTCAGGGCTGCAGCGGTGGTGGTGGTAGTGATTGTTGGGGCAGCAGTGGTGGTTGTATGAGGTTTTGTTGTTGTCAGGGCAGCAGCGATAGTGGTAGTAGTGATGGTTGGGGTAGCAGTGGTGGTTGTACTGGCTGCAGCCGTGGTGATGGTGGTGGTGGTGATTGCTGGAGCAGCAGTGATGGTCAGTGAGACAGCAGCGGTGGTTGGTGGGGTGCTTGTCAGATTTTCAGAAGGCGTTATTGAGGTTAAATTAGTGGTTGTCCCAAAAGCTGTTGCAGTTGTCATTGGAGTGACAGATGGGGTTGTTGAAGTGGTAGTAGTAGCCTGAGCTGTACTGGCTGCAGGTGAAATAAATGATGCCTATTTTACCATATTCTAGCATAATTGAGATATTTTATATAGTCTGGGGATTTACCTTGACAAGACCAACCAGGCCTTTCTGGGTGGACATCAACAAAGCCCTCCAAGCAAGTACAGCTGTATGACCCCCAGGTGTTATTGCAAGTTGCATAAGGAGAGCAATCATTGTCTCTTAATGTACATTCATCACGATCTACAGAAACAGCCAGAGTTGAAGTATAATTTAAAAAAATCCATAAGTAATCAATGATCCAAAATGTATCAAAATATATATAGACATATACTACCAATGATTTGCGTATTGTTTAAATCCACGTCATATTTAGAGCTATTCGTAAGGGAGTTTATCACAGCTGACGTCATTTTGCTGATGTCATCGCTTTGACTCAGGGTGAAGATGAGAGTGAAATTGACGACCACACTACCCGGTGCAAAACCTGTGATCACAATTCTCACTTGGCCTGAATCGACTAGAGCTCTCATGTCAGGGGACAAGGACTGGTAAATCTGAGAAAAACGTCAGAGTGAGTCAGGATGAAGAACAATTTACTTTTTAATATAAAAGAAAGACTAGAGTGTAATCTTTGCTCACTCACCTCCATGTAAATGCTGGTGGTAAGATTTGTGTATGCAGTGCTGGAGAGATTTTGCAACTCATTGGTGTATTCGATGTTTGTAAGGCGAGCTGTGGCATCCAAAGTCTGAGCATCTACAAACAGTCATATTGCATTTGTTTTAATCAAAAATTCTAAAATTAGTCAGTTATGAATTACTCGTTTGTCCTCATTACAGAATGGTAAAAATGTTTATATTTTTTCTCACAACAAGCACAGTTTAATGGAAAGATGCACAGATGGTCGCTACTGGTTAATAACAAATCTAATAGACTTAAAAGTATTTTTTTATTGTGTTCATAATAAAAATACTTTCCTATTCAGAGCTTCTTGATTCAGGAAACCTTTTGAGGCCAGTATCCCATTAGATTCTTTAGTTACTTACTCAGTTTCCAGAGTTTTTATATTGCATTATTAAACTTATCAATAATGAAATGTTTAAAACAAATCTGCTTTGTTAGAAAAATAAAATAATTTAGCTTCATGTCACTTGTTTGAGGTACCAAAGATAATCAGAAACCAAACAGAAACCATTATAATTGAGTATCTGATGAAACATAAGGGCATTCATAGAAGTAGACCTTTAGGTCAAATTATTGCCTTTATCTGCTTTCTTACCTGTCCTTATGGTCAGTTTTATTTCGTTTCCTTGACTCCCACATCGATATGGTATAATAAAGACGTCATAGAGTGTGCCCGCCTGCAGTCCTCTCATTTGTAACATGGTCTCACTGATATCATTAAGATAAATTGTGTCTAATCCTTTCTTGAGAGTAACACTGTAGCTTTGGTTTCCTGGGAATTGGCTTGACCATTGAACAACAAATGTTTTACTAGTGACATTAGCCACTCGCAAGTTGGTGATGCTGGGGGTAGCTGTAATCAAACAGCAGAGCAAACAGAGTTGGGTCAGAATGTGAATACATTTACCTGAAATAAAATTCAAAATCCAAAATAATGTCTTACAGCAGATGGTTGGAGGCTGGGTTGTATTTCTGTGGTATGGTTCAGTTTGGGCATTGGTCGCATTATTTAGATTTGATGTTGCATTGGTCTGTGGCTCCAAAGTACTGCTTTCTGGACTCATCAGAGGACAGTGTGTCATGGATGGAGTGGTGGTTATAACTACAAAAAAGAAAGTAGTTACTGCATGCTAACACAAATGTAACTTGCGTTCATGAAAAGTGAATCCTCACCAGTGCAGTTTGTTCCGGCGTTGATAGGGTCCACGTCAGCGTATCCAGGGCGACAGATGCAGATGTAGGAGCCAACCGTGTTCACACAATCAGCATAGGGTGAGCAACGGTAAAGAAAAGGCTGCGTACATTCATTTATATCTGTTTCAAAAAACATCATTTACAAGATGAGAACATTAGAGTATTGTAGTTTGTGATATCATTATGGTCTTGACTATTATGTTTAGTTTTGTGGATTTTTCCTGCATATTCAAAACTCCAAATCACAATTGAACAAACTATGATAACTAAGATATATAGCTGCATAGTTTGTTCAGTGAATGTTTGAATTACTCCAGATTTGAAGACTACGCTTTCTATGACTAAATCTTTTGAAGTCAACCATTCTTGCATTTTGCCACGTATGACAGGAAAAAGAAACGCTATACTTCGGCACCATTTTCAGCACCACATGCAGCTCTAAAAATAGCATTGATTCTATTGAACATGAATGGGTGGAGAAACACTGAACATCACTCATCCTATAGAAACCGAATAAAACAGTCCTGGTTTTTTTGTGCAAAGGATTGGGACTGTTTCATGGTTGTGTCTCTTCGAAGGGAGTGTGGGCGTGCGTTCTGTGCACGTGTGTGTGTGCTTGTTATCGCTGCTATTTTCCGCTATTGCAGGAAACATCCCACATGACTGTCACTCAAATAGAAGTGGTGGGAGAGGGAAACTGTGGTGCGACTGAGTCATTTTTTCCTGAACGCTGTGTTCTTTGCTACATGATTCATTCTGAAAAAGCTGTAAGAATGTCATTCCTCTGGAGAAAAAATAACTTCAAGACTGATCATGAGGTTATGTAGCCATCAGTTACAATTCTATCTCACCTTCTACAGTTAATGAAGACACCTCTTGGATGTGTTTGATGAGACGATGGAGCTTTGAAGTGATGTTTTTAAGGGTAGAACTGAATTTGCAGTCAATCATTAGAGAGGTAGCAGTTCTGTATGGATGCACAGGCTGCGAGCTGAGGTAATAGATGGAGATATTTGACTCCAGGACCCCATGTACCTTGTAGGGACATATATCATAGGAAAATGTCATAATCATACATTTTTCAATGCCATGTTTATTTTAATGCAATGACTAACTGCTTTGCTTTGATCCATTTAAACCAGGGATGTCCAAACGTTTTAGTAAGTGGTCCAGGAGCCGACAAAATGGTATTGGTGGAGCTAAAATTGGCTTTGTGTGGCTCAGGGCCAGATAAAATTACACAATTTAGTAGTTTGCACATGCCTGATTTAAACTCTACAAAGTATGTTTCATTTTTGATTAGTACCATAGAATATAAGAGCCTGGTGTGATTGTAGAGTCCTACTCTGGACATCAGATCATGATAGTCTGTTTTTATTATCACTGTTGCATTGAATTGTGACCCTTGATTCTCAAAATAATCAGAGCCTGTAGAGATACAATAGTTTTAAAACCAAAAACAAATGACATATACAATAGTATATCAAAGTGTGATACTGACTTGTGGGATCAGTGCATAAGTGGCAGCACTTTTGCCAGCCTGGACAGTCTATATCCCAATCACAGCCTTTACTGGAGTTGAGCCCAACTGATGATGGACAAGATCCTGGTTTGACAATGCCCTCCCTACTTCTGTTCACTGCTTCAGTCAAAGGAAATATCAAATTGCAGACCATTGTTTTATCATGTGGATATTTACGATGCACAAAATTAGTTTACTACATTTTCAAATAATAGCATCAAATCATGACAGCATAATTTGACAAAATGTGTTTGAACTCATACTCACTCAATGCACAGTAATGGCCGACCTGTGTATAGCCTTCGCAGCAGCTGATCACCTGCTCTGTCACTGATTTATACTCTGTGTATTGAGTCAGACGATGCCTTATCACTTGACATGTTTTCCAGGGAATCCAACCACCACATGGCCTGGTAGCAGTGTAAGGCACCATATACTGTACAGTGTAACTCACAAGCCTGGTCTCATTGTGCGCACAGAGATGATAACCAAACAGATTAAGCCTATAATCTACAACAAATAGGATTTTATGTTTGGCAGACATTATTTTGACAACATACATCATGCTTTATAATGAAGTGAAAATGGCTTACCTTCTTTTTCAGAAAGTTGTCCCTCGCAAATGTTACTTAGGGCCCAAAAGGCAAGACAAATGAGCATCCAATTCATTTTCCCTCCAAGTATTTCAATTAATTAAACAAAATATATTTATAAACTACATTTTAAATCCATTCTTTTCACTGATGTGGTGCGAACTCATGACTCAGGGTGTATCTAAGAGTCAAATCCTTGGAGGTTTATACTCTCCTCCTCTCTTTATACCAACAATCCCCAATGACCTTAAAGTTTAAATCTCTATTCTCTGTATTCTAGATTATGCTATTCCTTTAAAAAAATATTCATTAAAGCTGTATACTATTCCAAGTAACATTATTTCCACACAATTAAAACAGAGCGGTTTCTTTAACGTTAGGAGATTTATTGACATATTTTATGTACATTAATTTAGTGTAAAAGGGTAAACAATATATGGCTATAATTTGGATTTGAGAACTATCCAGTGATTGTCCTTGTCATATTTTAGCCCTGTCCGTAGAAAATATGTTTATGATAGCAGAGGCAGAATGATGGGAGGAGGCTAATCCCTAATGGTTGGGTTTGAACAGGTAACCATGCCACAGCTCACTATCCTCCTGGCATTAAACAGTCTGTGGCAGTTTAGAATGTCAACACATGAGGAGCTTTGTTGTATTTTTAGTCTATGTTATAAATATTCTTTCCATTTCCTTATTTTGGTGATGTGGGTTTTGTGCATGGAATCATATGCATGATCTTCTTTCTTAATGGGGTGTCAAAATGTGTTTAATCAACCAATTAATTCAATAACTTGAGTAATGACTAAAAGGCACACTGAGGCGAGGCAGTGTTACTAAGATTATACTTCATCAACACAAAAGTTTAGTTAATGAAATGAAGGTATACAGTACTTTAAATAGAATAATAGATTTTCATTGGGATTGTCTACACAGTCTTTTCCCCCACAGAATACCAGGGATAGTTGAGCCTATGTTTCCAGTAAGATACAAGTAAGGTATACAAGCAGCTTTTCAGCAAGAAGGTTGTGGGTTTGAATCCCAGTCGGAACAGCCTTTCTGATGGCATTGGCATGTACTTCCCATGTCTGTGTGGGTTTCCTCCAGGTGCTCCAGTTTCCCCTACCACTAAAAACATGTACAACAGTCTCCCTAATGACATTGCAGGATGTGTCAAATGCAGAGGATGCATACCATAACCATGATTATTCACTCATCCATAAAGTAAAGATATATATATTGAAACTATAACATATTTTTGCACAGTTTAGGACAATTTTCCGTATGATCAAGAATAGACACTGTAGGGATATGCAAACAACTACATTGAGGCAGGAAAAGTTATCTAGGTCTTGCAGAATAATACAAAAAGACATTTTACAGATAAACTAGAACTTTCCCTTTAAATTAGCCTCTTGTCAATTTCTTCTTAGACCCGCCTTCCCCCAGCTGAGCCGCCAATCAGACAGCTGGGATGTGACGAGCGACTTTTGCGATGACCTCATCCTTTGTGTGGGATGACGTCAAATTCAAGATGGATGGGATCACGAGCAGCGCAGAGAAATCTACACAAGACTGAATAAAGTCCAAACGTGGGAAGGAAAGACTTCATCAACGACGACCAGGGTAAGTGCGTGCGTCTCTCGTTAACTTATTGTTTACCTAGAACGGCTAGTAGCGCTCAGAGGAGTGAGCAGACCAGGCTTTTCCTCCCTGACGTAACGCGAAAGGGGGATTGTGCTGCTGGAAAACGCTCACCAGCTGCAACCTGTTTTGCGGGCGGCTCGGGAGCATGTCAAAGCTTTTGCGCGAATAAAATGATCACAGAGTTCAAAGGAGTGTATTTGCTCAATCCACACTGCTCCTGCTCCAACTAGTGTCTGCGTGTCCGCGCTGACTGTTTTCATCCAGCGATCAAGCTGCTGGAGTCCTCTGAAGCGATTCTGGGCGGCTCGCACAACTTTTCTATCTATAATTAGCGGTGGTGTGTTTAGCGCATATCTCTTCGACGACATTTGGAGTCTGGTCAAAATATTTTAGCTCCAGTGTTTCATTTGTTGCCACGTTCTATCTTGTGTCTTCTATGTGCTCGGAGGCTTAACAACTTCTTCGGTCTTTGGCTTTATTTAAAGCACAAATGACTTAACACGTATGACAATTGAGGCATTTGTAAAGATGTAATTTATGCACTCACTTCCAAGGCTTTATTTGATTGGCAAATCATACTTATTATATAATTGTTTTGAGTGTATTTTTAGTAGCTATACTTATCACGTGTACAATGACAACGTTTCTGGACAAATAATGGAAAAATATTCAGTCAGTGCTATACACCACACAATAGCATGTAATATACATAAACATAATTAAAGACAGAATAGTATTTAACCCGTTGGCTATGGTGTGTTACAGTGTACATGTGTATGCTCATTACTTAACTCGGAATTGTAGGTAATTCTAATTTAATATCAGATATATTATAATAATATCTGTAATATCGCAATGAAATTTTCATAGAGAGATCACATACTTTTTAAATTCACAATTACCCCCCTCCCCCCTCCATTTATAGAGAATATGCTTCAAACTAATACTTTCCATTAGATTTGATGCCAATTATTACATTTTATAGCAGAAAATGTGATGTAATCATCATGCTTTATGCATATTTATATAAAAATTTATGTATGTATTACTATTTATATAATTGTATGTATGTATTGAAATGATTTTTGTCTCTGTTTCAGCCATGGAGAACCTTATGCATTACAGTAATCACTCCCATGCCCTCTCGGTGTTGGGGATGCTGAACGAGCAGCGTCTGAGGGGGCAAATGTGTGATGTGATCCTCATTGTTGCCGATCAGAAGTATAATGCCCATAAGAGTGTCCTGGCAGCCAGCAGTGATTATTTCCAATCTTTATTCACTCAACCGGATCCAGAGACACCAAAAGTTGTAAATCTTGACTTCTGCGAACCAGATGCTTTTGAGATTGTCCTGAACTATATGTACTCCTCCTCCTTATTTGTTGATAAAGGAAGCCTGGCAGCAATTCAAGAACTCGGCTACACCCTAGGAATACCCTTTCTCACCAATATTTCATCAGCGAGGCCACATGCCTCCTATTGTGTGTCAAGAAAAAGGTTCTCATTCTCAGAGAGTGATGACAGTGATGTCCAAGCAAGAAGTGTAATTGTACGTAGGGTTAAGACAGAGACGGCTCACTCTTCCAAATCTACTTCTGCTCCATCCTCTTCAGGAGAGACCACACTTCCATCAGTACAAAAGTCATTCAAGTCAAGAAGGACTTCTGAATTGTTGAAATCTTCCCAATTGGCTGAAAACGCAGAACAAAAGTCAATTCATCCTTACGTCTCAATATTAAAAGGTAATTCCTCAAACATTACATCTGTTCGCCCCCAATTGACATCATCTGTGTCTTTTAGTGATGCTGAAGTGCAGCATCACAGACTTCAGTCTGAACAAGACACAAAAGATGATATTGGAGAATATGATTTCCGTGATCACACAAAAGAGCCCTTTCACAATACTGCTCAAGAGCCCAGCCAGACCATTGACCGGAGTGGACCACTCATAAAAAGTCTTCTTCGAAGGTCATTATCAATGGACAGTCCTGTTCCTGTCTTCTCACCAACCCTGGAGTTGAGAGAGCTGCAAAACCGTGAGCAGTCTGTGGTTAAAGTTGCATCAAGAGCATCTTTACCAGAAACTCCCATACACAATGGTGGGTCCAAAAGAACTTCACCTTTGGTTCTCCGATCAAGATGTCCAAGCAGATATGATGCTGAAACTCAGGTTGAACCAGAGATAAGTGTGAAAGCTGAGCCAAGCAGTCCACTCGCTGACCCCATGGATATAGTTCGAATCACAGTTGGAGATCCCTTGCCAGTTAATCTGAAAGACTTTCAAATTGATTTTGATCAAAGCACAAGGCCAGACTTGAATCTTTCTGTGAAAAGAAAGCACAGGCCAGATAATAGACGGTATCCACTTAAAAAGAGTAAACAATTAAAAGTCCATAGTCAACGTTCAGAGAACATATCAGAACCCGTACCTCAATCTGCTTGTGCTGAAATGGATGAAGACAGTGACGAGCATCAGCCAGGTAAAACATTTAAATGCTGGAACTGTCTAAAGCTCTTCCGATCAAGTGCAGGTCTGCATCGTCATGTAAACATGTATCATAATCCTGAGAAACCTTATGGTTGCGACATCTGTCACAAACGCTTCCATACTAACTTCAAAGTGTGGACACACTGTCAAACTCAGCATGGTGTAATGCAAAATCCAGCATCCTCTAATTCCTCCGTATTAGATGAGAAGTTCCAAAAGAAGCTTATTGATATTGTTCGAGAGCGGGAAATTAAAAAAGCGTTGCTTTGGAAGCTGAAGAGAAACAAACAAGGGATACAGTCATCAGTACTGGGCAAGAGAAAAACAAGTACCAACTTAATTTGCCCTTACTGTGGGAAAGTCTATGTTTTTCAATCTCAGTACAGGCAGCACATTAAAAGTCACCTCTTCAACCACCAAAGAACTGACTGGACTGAAGAGGATACAAGAGAAGACTTGCATCAAGGAGAAGAGCTGGCTCAGGAGAATAATGCTGATGTTTATTTCTGTAGACTGTGTAATGTTAAATTATCTTCTCTCTTCGAACAAGGTGACCATGAGAGGGGATGCCGGCATGCTACAGTGTGTCCCTATTGTGGCCTCAAATTCTCAAGTCCTGAAGTCAAAAATGACCATGAAGCACATTGCAAATACAAGAAATTAACATGCTTGGAATGCATGCGAACTTTCAAATCATCCTTTAGCATATGGCGTCACCAGGTGGAAGTGCACAACCATAATATGATGAGTGCTAAAGACCAGCTTCAGCTAACACAACTGGAGGACCATCATGAAGAGATCGATGAAGCGATGTTCAGGGGGGAGCAGTACAGTGAGGTTCATCTACACACCGAGAACGCTAGGGATGAGATTGATTATAATCAGCCCATTTACGATTCTGAAGACTCTTCATCATTTGTGCCAGAAGACCTGAGCATGAGCCATCATGGCAAGTTAGTGGTTAAAGAGGAGCCAATAGAGGAGGATGTGAGTGAGAGAGAAAATGCAGATACTGTCAAAGTTGTACCAGATGAACCTGGTGTGTGGCCATGTGAGAAATGTGGAAACTTATTCAGTTCTCGCAAAGACCTGGAGCGGCACCAGGAGCTGCTATGCCACATCAAGCCATTCATCTGCCACATCTGCAACAAGGCCTTCAGGACCAACTTCCGCCTTTGGAGCCATTTCCAGTCTCACATGTCCGCTAATGAACAAGGAGCCAAAGAGATAGAAAGACAGCCTTCCCCTCTGTCCCCCTCTCCTCCTTTGACCCCTCAGAACTTTGAGTGTCCCCTTACTCAGGCCCAACCAGTGCCTGTTGCATTGGTGAGCGAGGAGTCTGGCAGCCCAGAACCAAGTGGTTCAATAAGCCAAAGTAGGAAAACAGAGTTTGAGCAGCCGCCTAATAGTCCCAGCCCCATACCCCAGGCTAATAGCCTGGAGCATCCAGCTGGTCCTCAGGAACCAGACACCCTCTTCTACCATGCTCCCTCTCTCTCTGCGCTGACATTCAAGAGACAGTACATGTGTAAACTCTGCCACAGGACCTTCAAGACAGCCTTCAGTCTGTGGAGCCATGAGCAGAGTCATAACCACATATAAAAACAAAATACAAGTGAAACACCTCAGCCTAGTAAATGTAGATGTAATGAATGTAAAATCTGCCTTTGTTATTGAGAACTTGTAAGATATTACGGTGAATGTGCTGTATTATTCATGATTGTTTTGGTAATCTCAGACAAATCATTTAGATTTATTCATGAGGAACAGTTACGTGTATTTATCAATAAAGGTGTGACTAAAAGAGGAATATGATACTCAGTGAGGTGGTGCTTTTTTGTAGAACAAAAACATCAATAGCAGGTGCACCCTTATTTATTTACATGGTGTGTGAAAAGTGCTTTACTAATCTTATGCTGTTGCTGAATTTCTTATTAGTGAAGTGCTTATATTATATGAAGTGTTATTGGAATAATATCTATAGGTGTGAATTACATCTTACAATGTTGTGGCCTAAATAATTTATATATTACACACATGTTGAGAAATTAAATTGTATATTGATTTACTTGTATGGTAAAGTGCAAAGATGTCTGATTTTAGATATACCACGGCTGCCAAACTCTACATAAGAGTCTCAAAACAATCTGTTCTTGTGTTTTTGAACGTCCCATCAGCCAAATCCAGTAATAAGAACAAACCAGGTACACAAGTCTGCACCGACAGAACCATAGAATTCTGATCTGATTTTGGAACAATATGAAGTTCAACATAAACACCACCAGATTGTAGGTTATTTTGGCACACATATTTATTTTCTGAGCACTTAGAATGCCTTATGCAACTAATAGTTTTCTTCATCAAGGTTTCTCCTAAGCACAATAGCCTATAGATAACTCAGGCTTTTGCATGAAAGTAAAGTCAATGGAAGAAAGTTTACTTAATTGAATGGAAAATAGATTACAGATTGTAGTTTGTTTTGTTGTTTCAACTGCATAACATAATTAACTATATAGTTTAGTTAAAGTTTATCTATATATATAAATATAGTATGTTCATTTGTATGATTGTTTTGGACAATTTGAAGAATCAAATGTTTGGATAGTGTTATTTTGGTGGATAAAAAGTTTCACAGGAACAAATACGTTTGTGCCCAATGTCCACGTAATTTTGTAATCTCAATTGGATATATTATTTTTTCATTAAATATTTAAGTGTGTTTAGTACTGTGCTTTCATTGCAATAATACACATTTATATTATCAATTGTTCATCATAAGCATTTTTTTTTTCCATGCACCTGTTGTATTCCAAGGTTCTTCTGCAGCACTGTGCTCTCTGTAATAAAGGTAATTTATATTGATGAAACCCTCTAACTCTGTTTCAATGTTTATCTCCCTGGAAAGTATAATAATCACTTTCAACATGAAACTGTAGACTGGAAATCCTGCTTTCCCAAAGGTTCCAGAGGGGAAATGATCTCATAGACAAGAACATATTTTCATTGCTGTAATACGAGAAAGTATTGTAATAGTTTTTCATTCTCTCTGCATAGCTTATGATATATTGCATGATTTTATTATTATTTTTAAAAGAATGGTTCAAGAAATGTTCATCATTTAATGCTTTCAAACTTTGATTATTCAGGAAAAAGTCATCAACAACAGTTTTTTGTGTGAATACAAATCAGGACCCACATTTACAGTTCTAGTGGCACATCATTAACACAGGCAAATTAATAAAATAAGCATTTAAAAATAGATACACAAACAAACAGGAATAACTATGTAATAACAGATTTTAAAATTGTCCAAATTCACCAGTTGCAAATCAGATGTGCAAATTTGACAATATTTACATGTGTCTTCAATGTGTCTTTACAAGGCCAAGGTGTCTTTAATCAGCCTTCTCACGGTGGTGCTCACAGACGTGCCCAGAGAATCTGTGATCTGATATGTAATTTTGTAAAGATATGGCTGAACATCTTTGAGACTGGTGTCAAACACATTGTCGACCTCAGACTGGGTAGGCATCTTTGGCAGATATTCATGTCGGTTTATGACTTCGACCACATTGATAACCTTCTCGCCCAGCTTCTCACCAACTTTTTCCCGACAGATTTGTCTCTCTTGCTCATTGGCCAGGTTGACTACATTGACCTTGATGCTCCACACTTCCCATGGAATGCACTCATCTGCAAAGGGCCACCGAGACTTCTTTTTTTGATAAAACTCTAAAGAAATCTGTCCCATACCATCCGAGCCAGAAACACTCAGGGCATCCTAAGAGAAAAGAAGACGACGTTGCATTATGACATGTTAATGAACAGACAATACAACCACCACTTTCTTACCTTAAATTCTGCCACTGCTTTCCTAATGACTCTGTCCAGCTCTTCCGATGACACTCTGACAAATGCAAAGTCAATAAAGTCACAGTCTATGTCTTGTGTCCCTACAGTACCGATGGAGTAGGTGCCCTCCTTTTTGTAATGAAATTTGCCAGTGCTGCGGTGCAGTAAAATGGTATGAAGCAGAGCCAACATTGCCTCTTCAACTTGCCTCGCCTCGACCGTAACCTCAAGGACTTCTGAACGACAGTTCATGGCTAAAACATACGCATATAAAGCTGATGTCAAAGATAAAGATGAACAAACGAGTGTATAGCTACGCGTTAGCTGTCGAGTGCTACACGCTTGTTTACCTCTCGCTGTAGGCGTGGCCTATTTAGATCAGCAAAACGGATTCTAGTTTTGAACACATACTACTTTATGGATTATATGACTTTACAAAAATCTAAAAGACAAACTGCTAAAAGCAGAGCAGGGTTTCCACTGAAACAATTGCGAAACTTGCACTCAAGTCGAGTCGAAACAGTAATAATGCCCTGAAGACACACTACGGTGCTCGATGTAGATCAAACTTCACTAACGCGCGACAGTCATATATCAAATAAAGACGCATAACATAATTCTTGTTCATACTAAATGTAAATAAAAATATAACCGAGCCATATTATTGATTGTTAGTTATGAATGTGAAGTTTTCCATACAAAGTGGGTCTGGCAGAATCGCAGTGCATTATGGGGCTTACAGTGCCACATAACCTGCTCTAACAAAACTGCAACTTTGTACAGTCAGACCACAGCAGCAAAGCAAGTGTAGTGGCCAGCGCTGCTGCATTTGCTTCATTATGTTTTTGTGGGACTTTGGTGCGGTGTTTGGTTATCGAGACATGAAGCCAATTTGGGAATATCGGAATTTTTAAAATAACTTCCGCAGTTTTGTAGATAAGGACGTTTAGCCAGTTTTTACGAGTCGATTAGCCGAGTAAGCTAACACCCATTCAATAGTAATGTGATCGGATGGTCATCGAAGTTTCCAGCAATTGCCTTTTGTTTATGAAACACATGGGTTGGATCTACAACTATTTTGCACTTTAAAACATGTTTGGCAAACGCAACATGACTATCGCATTATTTATCCCCGGGGTGTGCGGTGGCCAGCGATGATGTACTGCTTGCCTTTTGGCTGAATAAATAACATGCTATTGTTGAAGTAATTTGCACAAGGGAGGGCGTTTAGCGTTTCATTGTCCGAAGAATGTCCGAATTGGAAAGTTCAGACTCATACTTGGGCTATGGCTTGGCCGATGCGCAGTGGCTATGCATGGTCACACTATTCATTGCGTCCCTCATTACATTATTACTGTATTTTGTACAGTACTTCACGTTAGGGACTACCAGAGGAAAGTCTACTGCTTCAAAGGACAATGTCAATACGAGGGCAGAGGCAGAGGCGCTTTTGGGATGGGCGCTGTCACTAAAAAGCTGGAAAGATGTTTGGAGAGCTGCTTGGTGCAGGGCTTTGAATGGCGAATCGAGGAAGTGCAGGGTAAGTCTTATGACCACCTAACCTCCTAGTTTCACCCAGGTGACTTCCATAATGATCATTTGATGTTCTCAAACAGTGAATGGCCAAACATAAGATAAGCGTTAATAATCTGATATTAATGTCACATTATAACGTTATTCTTCCATTCATTAGTTGCAAGTTCCCCATTAGTGTGTAACATGCTACACTCAGGAACACAAAATACAATTATTGTACGTTGCTAACTTGTTCACTATGTTCATGTGTGTTTATGTATTTTATTTTAGAGTCTAGTTGTATTCACATTTGAAGAAGATGGACTTGAAGCCTCTGAGCTTCATATCAGTCAAGTTACTAATTTTCAGAAGTCTCCCACTCACAAGGTAAACGTTTTAAAATGTAATTCCCATTAATACAAGTCCAAAAAGGTTTCAGTTGCTGTGTTGGTAGCCAGAGCTGTTTACAGTTTCCATAATGCTTGCTCAGCCATTTCATTGTCATGATCGCAATAAGGACCAAAACACCAGGTGCACAGTTGCTGAATGCAGGGTGCAATAGGCTTATTTTCACTCACAGGCAGTGTGTTCATTATAAGAAGCTTAACTATCTGTCAGCCTTCATTCTGGAGAAGTACAAGGAGAGCTGAGGTCTTTCAAGTGTGCAGATGTGTAGAACCTACACATTATGTGACTTCATAGACCCATATGATCTATGACTTTAATCAAGCATATGGTCTGTTATAGAAATGTATACAATTAGTAAAGCTATAACAATTGATGTCAGTGGTTTGACATGTCAAATATAGTATATTGAGTGGCTTTCTCTTATTTGAATGGCTGATTTGATTTAAGGTGGGTTCTATTCAAATACTTTACATTATTTACATGTGCTTGAAGTGAGGCCATCACTCTTCTTTGACAGGCTGCGTGCTGCAGGATGGTTGCAGAAAAGCTTCACTTCAGTCTGAGCGTATCATCAACAAACTCCCCTGCGGCGCTTCCTTGCAAATATAAAGCATGCATAGAGCCACTGGAGATGCAGGTACACTGCTGGGTACCTATCTTTACCGAATTCTGTATGATTAAACTAGTATCTCATTTGATAACACAACAATGCACTATTGCAGAAATTTTGGCAGGACTACTTTTCGTATAATTCTCACATGATTCTTCAATCATCAATACAAATACATTACCACTTAAACTGTATTAATTTCTCATTTACAAATTTCCTGCCATTTAATCATAACTAAAATGTTTGATCAGTAGATGGATAATAACAGCTTCAACTAGCAATCAATTATATTTTTCCATAACAAATCCAATGTTCCCTATTCTTGCCTTTAGTGTTGCTCTACAAGCATGCACTAATCCATGACAGGATTATAAGCATTGGAGTTGTAATTGATAGTATTAGCTGTGTCAGTTAAGCCAATTGTATTAAAGCTATTTTTAGACTATAAGTACTTGTCCAGGCTCCCAGCTCATTCATTCATTCATTCATTCATTCATCATTCATTTTTTCAACCCCTTTATTAGTCCATTTCTGGGTCGGGGGGGTGGCAATGAGAGCTGCCACCCAATGCTCATAGCACCAGTCCCTCGCTGATCTTCTGCAGGGGGTGAGTCCACAGGAAGATGGCTGCTCCATCAGTTGAGAAACCGCCTTGATCTTTCAGCGGGGGGCTTCAGGCAACGTGGGGTTAAGTGTCTTGCCCAAGGACACAACGACAGCAGTCATCAGTGGGAGCAGTTGGAGTAGGTCCCATGGTGGGAATCGAACTCACGACCTCCAGGCCCAAGGGCAAATGCTCTACCAACTGAGCTACTGTCGCCCCCTGCTCATTGCCATAAATACAATTTAAGTGATGGTTTAAAGGTAGGTTTAAAGTGGAAGTGGTTTATTTTTGTTGGGTATTCCCATATTGTTACAGGCACACAATAGAGGCCTCGCTTTGGCTTTTCACGCCTGGCCTGTTTAGTTCAGTCTGGAAAAAATCAGAAACTTCTAAATTGCCTCATGATGATTATTTTTTTTAAGTTAATGGGAAAGTGATTCAGCAATTAGTTTCAACATTATGCAATAATATCTATAGCTAAATTTTAGTGTTATTAAATTACTTTTTTATTTACAGACATTATGTGTTCACACTTGTCAAGAGATGTTGGACAACACCGCATATATTGTCCGCTTATATTGTCAGTTAGTCACACTGTCGTAATAATATTTGCCAAATTTGAGGATGTTTTAAAATTTGTATTAATTAATTATCACTATGACCAATCTCTCAATCAGCCACCGGTCTAATACATTCCCTTTTTTTTGACAGTTGTTTTTCCAAACAAAAGTCAAACTTAAACCTCCATGTTTATGTTGCCATTATGACTTATTTTTCCCCACAATTATACTCTTTTTTTTTTTTTTTTTTTCCAAACAATGTCATAATAATAAATGTACCTGTACTATTTTGTTTCCATATTGTTTAGCTTGACCTTCTGATGAAAGAGGCTGAAGGTGAGGTGCAAGTTACCTGGGGTATTTCACAGTTGGACTCCAGTGAGCTACAGCTAACACTAGAACCTTCCCAGGTGCTCTTTTCATCTGCCTTCTGACTCAGCTGTGAATTTTACATTCAATTTCATGAAGTTCCTCTGTTTGCAGGTTTCCCCATGCAGTCAAAGCATGGTGAAAGAGCAGTTGTATCAGTTGTTGTGCAGGACTCATCCCTCTGTTTCTCTGAGCTACCGATCCTCAGAGGTATGTACAGATCTAGATTTCCCCCTATTTATTACAAACGCACACACACGCACGCACGCACGGGGCAACGACGACAAAGACAAAAACAATGTGTAGTCTTCTACATAGAGCATCTCAAAACAACCCAATCACATGACCCCTTTGAATTGATAATGAAACCAGATGATCCTTGGTTATGAAAATGAGGTTTTCCTTTGTTAAGAAGTATTATGAATGTTTTGTCCCTTAAACATAATCATGATGTTTACTTTGGTATATCATGTTTTAGAATGAAAAATCACTTGTGTCAAATGTATTATGTAGATAGTTTGTGTGGGTGGATAATACATGTTTTTGCATGTAATTCACAACTTCTACTATCAGAAGTTAATAGTTTTTTGTCTTTTCTTGTAAAAGACAGAAAACAGCCATAAACATCATGCAATGGTGTGGGATTTGTCCGAGCATACCAGGAATGTTTGTGTGTTAGAAGTTACTGAAAACACTTGGGTCTGTGTTTATGAAGGAGCTTTATTGGTTAAACGCTTGAAGGTTTTAGTATTGGGCAACATCATTTATGATTATCTATCTAGAATTGAAGAATGTCAGTTTTGATTCTCTGTTCCGACTTGCCACAATAGAAGAGGACCTGAAGCAAAGTCAAATTTGCAGTTTTTTGCTTTTGTAAAATGGCTAAGCAAGAGAGTTACATAATAGAGTGTGTATGTAGAGAATTACAGTGCGAGGAAGACCCAGCACATGTGGGAGGGGCTATGCCTCTCGACCAATTCATCCATGCTCTCGATAAACCAGGGAGCATATTAGAATGGCCCCAGAAAAGTGTTTGTGGAAAATTTAAATCTATTGTAGCCTCTTTTCTCCATAGGATCTACAGAACAATGTGGCGTCGCCCCCTAAACCTCCTCGTGCTCATGAATGGAAACTGCTGGTCAAAAATATTCATATAACTTACAGTGAGGAGGGAAATGCTGCAGGTAAAACATTCTTTGTTAATTAGTGATTCCCTCTAAACTTGAAATGGAAGCGAATGACTCCCAGAATGGTCAAATGATCTTTAATTTAAGCTTTCCTTTTAATTTCTATATACATAAACCAAAAAAATCATAGATGTATTTCCACTGTTGGAGACATAATCTAAAAAGAAAAAATCTGGAGGTCACATTATAGGATTTTTTAATGATTGTATTTGTATGTTACTGGGGTTCAAAAGTACACATGAGAATCTCAGTATTAATATTTAGTGCAGAAGCCTTTGTTTGCAGTTACAGAGGTCAAACGTTTCCTATAGTTCTTCACCAGGTTTGCACACATAGCAACAGGGATTTTGGCCCATTCCTCATGGCCCCGTTCATCCTCTCCCGAATACAGTGCAGTCGTCGTGTCCCCTTTTTCTGAAAAGCACCCCCAAAGCATGATGTTTCCACCCCCATGCTTCACTGTAGGGTTGATGTTCTAGGGATGATACTCATCCTTTTTCCTCCAAACCCGATGATTGGAATTTATATCAAAAAGTTCATTTTTGGACTCATCTGACCACATAACTTTCTTCCATGTCTCCCCTGGATCATTCAGATGGTCCCAGATAAACCTTATACGGGCTGACTTAAGCAGGTTAACCTTCTGTGCGATGCATGATTTAAACCACTATGCCGTAGTGTACTACTGGAAGTAGCCTTGGAAACGGTGATCCCAGCTCTCTTCAGGTCTTTCACCAGCTCCTGCCGTGTAGTTCTGGGCTGATTCCTCACTTTTCAAAACCACCATTGCTCATCTCCCTCAGTGCACCACTCTCAGTGTCAACTATGGTGGTGGCAGCATCATGTTGTGGGGCTGTTGTCATGTTTGTCATGTTTCTTCAGCAAGGACAGGAAAGGGAACATTCTCTTTTAGTTTATACAAAACAAATAAATGGCTGCTTTTTCATTTTTTAAGAAAAAATATAAAAACTAATACTCTTTGCAATTATCTTATAAACATATGGATATTGTAAAGTATATAATTTTATTTCTATTTTGCTACAGTGCAGTATTCTATGCTAAGGTTAAGGACTTGAATATTTGCTGACTTTACAATTTGCTAATTGGGATATTGATTGTGATGAATCTTAAATAGTCCTTTTCCCTATTGTAGGCAGCATAAATCCTCAGTGTACACTCCAGTTAGATGATCCTCCCCAGAAGTTCTGCACATCAGTTGTGAGAAATGTCACTAATGCCACCTGGGAACAGCCATTCATTTTGTAAGTGTTACTGACATCCACAATTAAGGCTACATTCATAACTAATAATCCGCTTTGTTCTTCCAGTGAGCTCAATGGGAGATCGAAAGAGCTCAAAATTCAGGTGGTGAATGATGGGCAACTTGAAGCATGTAAGACTCTGAGCTATTGCATGTAATTTTAAACACAGTAGAGGTTTTGAATAAACAATCAGCCACTTTATTTAGTGGCATCACAATAGTCCATATGTCAGTGCTGTGCGGCTGCAATAACAAATGTGGTTATTTCCATAGTAACCTTATCACAATTAATCACCCACTTGCGTTATACTAAAGTGCCCGATAACACTACCACGTATAACATGTGTACTGTCAGACACAGAAATCATGCATTTTTTTTTTTACAATTAAGAATCTCATTAATTCTTGATTTACATAAACTGTGACAAATAGCGTTCTGGTTCTCAAGCGGAAATCTCTCATTTGAGTTTCTTTGGGGAAATCCAGCGTGTTGGGTAACTATCGTTTAATGTAATAATTCTCCTTGCTTGTTTCCAATAGCATCATTGTTGGGCCAGGTGTCCGTGCCTTTTGATCTTGTGAAGAAGCATCCCAAAGGACGGCAAACATATGCACTTATGACCAAATATGTAGTGACCGGATCACTAACTACTGAGGTATGGACCTACGTTTTCCTCATTAACACAATTGCCCCTATTGTTCTGGCATTTATTGTATTTTTCTCTCTCAGTTTACTTACCTTGAGCCTAGTGAGGTGAGGTCCTGGCAGTCTCCCACTCCAGTCTCTACTAAGAAGATTGAGATGGACCGTACAGTTATGCCTTGTGGCACAGTGGTCACTACAATCACTGCAGTGAAAAGCAAACCTGGGCGGCCGCTGCCTGTGGGCCTTAGTATAGGTACATGTTGTTCCTTGATGCAAAGTGGAATGTAAATGTTTTTTGTTTTTTTTTAAGCATTGGGTTATATGTGAAATTACATTTGCTCCTTTTTTATGCTTCCTCCCTCAGATTCTTCTCAAAAGGTGGTAGCCAACAAACCCAAATTGTCAGAGCGGCGTGTTTCAGAGCAGTCGTCACTAATGAGAAATGCTGTGAACAAGGCCTTGTCCTCCTCAGACACTGAACTACTCATGCTGAACGGCACTGACCCAGTGGCTGAGGCTGCCATTCGACAGCTCCACCATTCCGCCAAACAGAAACTCAAGTCACCAGTAAAGAAGAGCACCATCATCATCTCTGGCATTACAAAGGTATGATCTTTGACATTTATGAGTTTTGTTGTTGTTACTCAAACGTTTGGCCTCATTTTATTTACAGACGCCATTGTCTCAGGATGATGAGCTCACGCTAATGGCGGGTTATGCTGCTGCCATGGACGCCTCCATGTCAGAGAGCAGCTCTAGCCAGGATGTGACCACTGCAAAAGCATCAGGATCTCTTAGTCCTCCAGATGAGACAAACGCCCAGGAAGGCCCCAGTGGGATGGGCCGACCTCCAGAGGACTGGGAAAGCAATGCAGGGGATGAGCTCGATAATTCTTCACTGTCCATGTGTGTATCCGAGGCAAACTGCAAAAAGAGCAGAGGTGAGGCTTTCATACGTCTTTGGTCAGTCTGAAAATACTGTGATTGTGACTTTTTCACATATTTCTATAGGCCTGATTTGTGTTTGGCTCTTTGCACAGCCACTTGTTGTCTTTCAGTGATGCAGTGTGTTTTCTGTTTTCTCTCCTACTATTTGAACCTTTTGTTTCTGTACTGTTCTCTGCCAACTTAGAGGAAAGCGGTTCTAAGCACTCATTAAGTGCTCATGAGTAAGTCTTTCATACTAATAATATCAGTGATGCTTCCTGTAAACCTTTCTAGATATAGAAAGCATTACTAAAGAGACCTATAGAACACCATCATACTAGTCTTATTCACTGAACTAAAAATCTAGTTCGACTGTACTAGTATAGTTGCATGTGCTTAAGTTATTTATTAGTTTTTAAACATGACTTTAATTTTGCATTATAAAAATCTTATAGAAAAGAGTTCACACAACAGTGAAACCCTCCAGATAAATTTGTTACAAGAAAAATAGTTCAATTTTTATTATCCGGATCACAGACTCTGGATTCAGGATTTTTTTCAGGCATTTTTCTATTGTGTGCTTTTCTAGTTTGTAACATGTGTAGTAGTTTATTATTATTATTAGCTGATGATTGAATAAAATCCTTATTTATACATCAACATTTGTATTAACATCCTCCATGAACTGAGAATTACTATCTAACTTCACATTTTCTGCACTGCTTTTATTTAGACCTTAATTTTCTGTTTCCTTGTTCTGAATCCTAGTGTGATTGTAGTTTCTCTTTGTTCCTTCAGGCAGCTTCCTCCAGAAAGGTGCGAGGCTCTTCTTCCGGCGGCGGCACCAGAGGAAGGAGCCGGGCATGAGCCAGTCCCACAACGACCTGGTGTACCTGGACTCTCCCACCTCTGTGGAGCGGGCCAGTCGAACAGCCACCCTCAGCCGCATGCTCAGCCGCAAGAGTAAACCCAAGTGCAAAGCTAACGGCTCTACCTCCACAGGGGACACGGGGGAACCACATGCATGACCCCCCCACATGACCCCTGCCCCTCCATACAGGCTTCTAGTGGCTCCTGCACATCAGCCGCTTCATCTGCATACAGGACTGAACATATTCTCTTTGTTACCATATCCTTTAACTAATAATCCAAATCAAAGGATGGAGTATTTTCGGGAAACAACAAAGAGTTTTATTTTGCATGTTTGCGTTAATCTTATGCAAACTTTTGAAGAAAAAAAAATGCATTGTGGCCTTGTTACTGTGAGAACTGGTGGGCTATGATATGTGACCTCATCATTATTGAGGACAAAGATGACTTTATCCTTGCTGGAAAATGCAAAGAGAACAGTGGTGTGGCGTGGTGTGCACATTTAGTCCTTTGACAGGAGCTTCTCTTGTAGTGGAGTGTCTTTTGTCTCTCAAAAAATCAGAAAGGGATATTTGCACATGACCAGTCACAAAGTCCATGACTACTTTTCAACAACACTAATCACATTTCATTTCTTTATTTATTGCTCATGTTTTTTCCTGTCCTAATAAGACTAGAATAACAGCAGGATGTCCATGTGAAACTGTACAGTAAGATTTGCCTTTAAAAACACAGGCATGAGGAGCATACATCTCCCAATTGCAAGGGTAATCAAATGGTATAATACAGATAATAATGCTAACACTGATGGATGCCTTAGTAAATAAAGTCACCTTTGGTCTGCAGTGTTTATGAATAATATGCAATTTCTTACGTCTTGTATTGCTCGAGTACACTGTTATTAGCAGGTATATAAGTGTGTCAAAGGGAAAGAAAGGATCCTTTGTCCAGAAACAATGAAACAGTCGGCCATATTGAACTGCATTTATGTACTAATGAGGGTTGCGACTGTATGTCCATGTCAGTTCATCGTTAATTAGTTTGACCTTTTTTGTTTTCTACAAATGTAGCTTTAAACATTAGTATAGGAAATGGTCAGTGGGAACAGCAGCCAAATACTGGGGGTGTTTTGTTTTTTTAATCCAGCGGATGATTGTATGTCACTTTAAGATAATCTTTGCATCCAGTTCACTGTTTGTTAAATATATGAGGAAAGGACTTCGTAATAACAGTGGGAGGACCGCACTGTGACAGAAAATAACAATGCCTTCTTGTTCTTGTACCTAATGTTTTTCATAGGTGTCACAGAAGACGCAGAAAACTGGTAGAACCTGTTAGAATAATGTCAGCATTATCAGCTCTAGGCCTGTGTGTCAATAATCAAGAAGCCTATGCACATAACATATCTTAACAGTGTTTACATGGAAATATCTACAATAAAGTTACAGTACATGGTGGCCAGGACATTGTACACATTGTCTCTTGTTTATGTATCTCCTCTCAACACTCTAGGATATTGTAAACTAAACCAATGTTTATGTTGATTTATTAGTTATTGAAAAGGTGCACAGGTAGTTTAAAATTGGAGGGTCTAAAATGTTTTCTTATAATGCATATACAAAATAAATAAACATGGAATCTAATACAGTTTACGTGGATAATTCCTGCCAAAGAAAAATATTTCTGATGAGACATAAATGTTATAGTTTCTTGGATTCTATAGCACCGGCGTGTAACTTTCAAATCCCCAAGAAAACAGTCAAACTATTTTTCATATGCATTTTTTGGCCCCATCACATCTTTAGAGCAGAACATTTTAAGAGGACCACCCTTAATAAACCATTCAGCTCTAAGCCAAAACGTCAAATAGTGGAGGAACTAAATGAGCATGATGTGGTCTTATTTGTTCCTATCTTTTTACTATCATTTTACTTTTACAGATACGTGCTATTTATGAAACAAAAAGTTGGGTATACCAACTTTAATTCTTCCAGAAGATTTGTAAATTGTATAATCAGCATCAGGATTTCTGTGTATGCACACTTGCAGAAACATGACGTATTTGTGTTAGGTAGGTGTTATTTCTTTTGGTTTGCAGCCTGCGCGAACGACAACAGGCTCTTTCATATTTGAACCGTGACTACAAGTCCCAGCATGCCTTGCGCGCCGTTGGTTTCCGGTCTTGCGCTGTTTCTGGAGCGGATTGGAACCCGGAGTCAGGACTAGCTAAATGAAGGGACTTTAGCAGAAAAGGTAACGTGTTTCTCTCTAACAGTCGGCTCAATAAGCTCGAAGCCGGGCCTGGCTGGGTGCTGGCGGTCCCCCCGTGTGAGATAAGCGGGCTGGCGCAGCTTCAGGGCCTCTGTTGGTGGCGTGGTGGAGCTGAACAAGCCTGACTCCCGTTTGCTGTGGCGCGTCTCCAGTCCATCCGCCATGCCGACTGTTCTTTGTTACATTCACCAAACGAGCTGCGCAGATCGGAGTTAAAACCCGGCTAGACCTTGGGAGCGGCTGAAATCCCGGATCCCATCAAAGATCCCATCTCATACAAGGACTAAAGTCTGAGATGAACTGAAAACTAGTTGAATCTTTCATCATTATAATTTATCACCATATTAGCTTCATATTTGACCACTATTTATAACGCAACACCAGCTGCACAAGTCTAACTACATACTATAATATACAGTTTTTAAAATAATGAATAAACTGTTCCTATATGTATGTGCTTTTCATTCTAAATGTTTTAATCCCAGATCGTGGTGACAAAATGGCTGAGGCGACACCAGATGAGTTTGTCTGTAAGTACTGGTCCATAAGCATCATGTGTCAGTGGAAGTAGACTTTTCAGCAGGTGTTTCTTCTGCTGCAGGGTGTGATGATTGTGGACAGTACCATGACTCGGAGTGTCCAGAACTGGGGCCAGTGGTGACTGTGCAGGACTCAGTTGTGCATAGCAGAGCCAGGTAATGAACCAAACATGTTTCTCGATAATCTACACTTTCTTTCATGTGAAGTTTGAAAAGATATCTTGGAAATCAGCATTCTGGTCTTGTACTAAATGGTCTGAATTCCTAATGTCTGGTCAAGTGAAACGGGCAGAAATCTCTAACAGCATTCCAGAGTGATGGCATGCAGAATCGCATTCAGGTTCTATTTGAGCTTTGCGATCTCAAGTTTTGTCTGTTATGATGAATATCCATAATTGAATTACAAAGATATAAATCATGTGACAATAACAAGTTGAGGGTCAGATGAAAAAATTAGTACGATTTTACTTGTCTTCGCTTTCACTGTGAATGGTTTAAATGTTATTCACGGTTAGAAATTTGTTAATGACAAGATTTTTGTTGTTGTTAATGTCAATCAGTTAATTTAATGTAAAAATATTGGAAAAATATAGATCGGCAATATGGCAGAAAAAAACCTGATACATTTTTATCCATGATCGTGCAGCACTAGGTTCCTCACAAAATCGTTGTCCTACAAAATGCTATGCTTCCTGCCGTGAGAATATTGACGTTTCCTTCTCATTGTTGCGAATCAGGTCCTCTCTGCCCAACAGCTTGGAGATCCGAGAGGTGAGGCCTGGAGAAGAGGGAGTGTTTGTACTGCGAAGACTCGTCAAAAGAACCCGGTTTGGACCCTTTGAGGCTAAGAGAGTCTCCCATTTACTAAGGGAGGGGCATTTTCCACTCAAGGTTGCACATATTCTGTTTAACATACTATTTCTATTACTACCTAGTGTTACTAATGTATACTTACATGTGTTTCTCTGGTTAGGTTTTCCACAAAGATGGCTCGGTTGTCTGTTTTAACACCAGTAATGAGGACGACTGCAACTGGATGATTCTTGTCCGCGCCGCCAATGACCACAGCCATCAGAATCTGACCGCGTACCAACAGGATGACGATGTGTACTTCAACACCTCACAGGTACGTCGCGCTAAACCGTCCAAAAACATGTACACGTAACAGCGTTGCAACTTCTGTATGTGCCTCTTAGGATGTGTTGCCAGGTACTGAACTGCGAGTGTGGTATGGCGCCTTCTACGCAAAGAAGATGGAAAAACCTATGTTAAAAAACCCACTGCAGCCTCCCTTGCCTCCATCAGGTCTCCCTGCATTCCCTAATATATATTTAACTTCAACTGGAGCAATTCTGGTTCACTCGGGACAATGTTATATTTGTATTGTCGATGTAAAACCACCAATCAAGTAAACCATGGGTCAGACACAAAATCCCCAATGAACCAGAAACCTCAAGAGACCGCTCTAAATACTACTACTAACCATTCATATTAATATATCATTTCCTTTTAATAGAAAAAGCAATGCCCAAAATGCTGGTTGGTGAGGAAGAGCACAAAGCATGTAAGTTCTGTGTTAAACTTTTTACAGCTTTGCGCCTGTTTTGTGTTTTCATACATTTATTTTCTTCTAACAGATAATGAAGAAAACGTCTTTCCAGTTGACGACCCACAAGAGGGGACCCGTGTTTTTCCAGAGATGTACGTAGGTCTCCGTCGTGCTCCTCGCAACAAGAAAAAAGTGGCTTTTCGAGGGAGAAAGACCAAGGGACGTAGACCAATTAACTCTGCTGCTGCCAACAACAAGAGGAAAGGTAAGATATGAGATAGTATGAAGAGCCAACAATCACATTTATAGTATTGACATGTTCCCCCTTGACTCCAAATGCAGTCTTGAAGCCAGCAAAATACACTTCTGTTTTGGAAGAATCGGAAACTTCAGCAGAGATGGCTTCAGTTGAGAGCTTTGACGCTAGTGGAGAACTTGTCATCAAAAGGACAAAATCTCGAGAGCAAAAGGTTTACAGCTGCCCCCTGTGTAGCAAGGTCTTCCAGAACAGCAGCAATCTGAATAGACACATCCGCTCTCACGGTAAGACATATAAAGAATGTAATAACACTGCTAAAAGTGATGAAGAATAAGTCAAGTCAAAAACTGCTCAAATCTGGCCAAATGTATCTTAATTTGAGCACATTTTGACTGCCTTAAAACAAGATTTGTGAAAGGGACAAGAGAAATGATCTCTTGTTTTATTGTCAGAATGTACTCAGATTACACTGAATTCAAGCAATTATTACATCATATTTTAAACTATGTTTTAGGGGACAAGCTGTTCAAATGTGACGATTGTGACAAGTTATTTAGCCGCAAAGAAAGCCTGAAGCAGCACATCTCGTATAAGCACAGCAAAACTATGGTGGGTACCACGTTGAACAGAATTCAGTCTTTTGCACTTCTTTTCTTACGTTTCGTCTTCCCCAGCCGGATCTAGAATACAAATATAAGTGCAACACCTGCGAGAAATCTTTTCGTCTTGAGAATGCCTTGAAATTTCACAACTGCAGAACCGGTAAATACTACTGGCAGAAAAACAATTATAATGCATTTAGATTTTTTTAAAATCATTTATTTCCCTCTTGTTTTACATAGACGACAAGACCTTCCAGTGTGACATCTGCTCACGGTTCTTCTCCACCAACAGTAATCTTTCCAAGCACAAGAAGAAACACGGAGACAAGTTGTTCTCCTGTGAGATCTGCAACAAGATGTTTTACCGCAAAGACGTGATGCAAGAGCACCACAGAAGGCACAGCGTGGGTCAGTCTGCTCCCTTTTTATGTTGTTTATGATTGTTTAGAAATTGAATGAATGTTTATTATGGTGAAGGCAAGTCAAACAAGTGCTTGGCTCCACTCCATAACCCTTTCCATAGTTCATCTCTCTCAAACAAAAAATGTGATACTGTATTAAAAATGTGTTCATTTATTTATGTTTATTTCAGTCACAAAAAACACAAAGAGAGATGAGCTGGAGGTCAACAGTGAAGAAAACGTCAAGTACAGAAAGGAGCCTTCGCCTTGTCCCATCTGTGGAAAGGTCAGCGCTGTAAAAGTGAACAAATGCCTGTTTAGGGCATGAGGTCAGAGATATGGCTTAAAGTCTTGTGTACACACAGGTGTTCTCCTGCAGGAGTAACATGAACAAGCACCTGCTCACCCACGGCGATAAGAAGTACACGTGCGAGATCTGCGGACGCAAGTTCTTCAGAGTGGACGTGCTGCGGGATCACATCCATGTCCACTTCAAGGTTCATTTTACTGCTGCCAGTTTGTTGCACACACGTTGCATTTTTTGTTTTGTTTCTTTGAGTTATTCATGTCCAATCATGAACCTTTATGGTACTTAAAAAACCCATGAATTATCTGTTGACCCGGGACCCGCTGGAGGGACACTCAGCTGGCTGGATGTCCTGGAGGAAGTGTGTGTGGAAAGGGATGTCTGGGCATCTCTGCTTAGACTGCTGCCCCAGGACCCGGCAACAGATAAAGCAGAAGAAAATAAATAGATTACATATAATATTGGCCAATAAAAAGTACTTAAGAATAATATCCAACAATTCTCACAGTTCAACTGAAATACAATTCTAGAACATGAACCTAATAGAAAGTTTTCTTTGCAGGACATTGCACTTATGGATGAGCAACAACGAGAAGACTTCATCAGGAAAATTGGTATTTCAGAAGATGACAGCGACGAAACGGACGAGGATGACGAGGCAGAGGATCCTGAGCAGCACAAATACAACTGCAAGAAATGTCATGTAAGAACGAACAAATGCCCCATCAAATATCCCACTGTATCCTGTGCAACAGTAAGTCACATGACTGTTGTCTCAGCTGTCCTTCGCTAAAGGAAGAGAGTACCTGAAGCACATCATGGAGCAGCACAAAGAGCGTGGTTACGGCTGTGGCATCTGTAACCGACGCTTTGCACTGAAGGCCACTTATAACGCACACCTGGTCATCCACAGAGAGCAGCTGCCGGACCCCGCGGTGCAGAGGTAAGACTCTCCACGAGGCCCCTGTCTCCATCATTAATACATCCATTCATCCTTCACTAACTGACAGATAAAACAATATATTTTGGCCCTCAATAATGATCATCTATACATTTTCCTGGCAAAAGTTTAAATAATATTTTATGTGGCCATACTGTACCTGCATGTGAAAGCAGGCTGTGGCTGTAAAGGCGAGACATCCACATCAGTTGGTGGTGGTTGGAGGGGCCGATGGCACATGCTGGTTGCCTCGCTTCTGTCAGTGTGCCCCAGGGCAGCTGTGCCAACAATAGTAGTTCTAAAAAGTGCTATATAAAACTGATGCATCAATTTTGCAGAGAGATTTTTGCTTTTAAAGGGACAGTATGTAATATGCACTCTTACAATTACAATCTGACTTTTGCTGCCAAAATATTCCTCCTTGTGGAACATGTAGCTCATAAGTACTGATTACTGATGCACTCCACCTGCTGGGGTTTAGCTAGAAACGGGACAAACTATGTGTACTATGTATGACTTCTTTGTTTCTGCTTTCATTTAAATGGGTGTGTGCTGCTATGTTTTTGTTTTTTTTTTGCAAATAGAGCCTCATTCTTCTCTCTGATTGGATGATGTGACCTGTTATGGGTATGAAATGTAATTAATTGTAATTGTTACGCGTGCTCCCTTTTAAGGTTCAAAAATATTACAATGGTTTTTAATCACATCACCATCAGTGGCATAAAATAGTTTCAATATTATCGGTTATCACAATCATTTACATAAGCAATTTATCTTTCTATTTGTCTTTCATTATTGTTTCTTTATTTTACTGCAATAAAGAAACATCTACAGACCTCTTATCATTTGAAATAATTTGAACGGTTTGTTTAGATATATCCATCCGTGTGAGGTTTGCGGGCGAATCTTCAACAGCTATGGAAACCTGGACAGACATAAGATCATCCACACGGGTGAGAAATACTCCATATATGGGAAAAAGGACATACTGGCTCTGGGTGCACATAGTCACACAACTGTTTGTGTTTATACAGGAGTCAAAAGTCACAGTTGTGAAAAGTGTGGTAAGTCGTTTGCCCGAAAAGATATGCTAAAGGAGCACCTCAGGGTCCACGATGACATCCGAGACTACCTGTGTGCCGAGTGTGGCAAAGGTAATCGTGTAGTTTAGTTTGAATCCTTTGCTTACAAAAAAAACATGTCTTTGATTTAGTTTATGTCTGTCATGTGTTGTTGTCGTGAAGGTATGAAGACCAAGCACGCTCTGAGGCATCACATGAAGCTCCACAAAGGCATCAAAGAGTACGAGTGCAAAGAGTGTAAACGCAAATTTGCTCAGAAAGTGAACATGCTGAAACATTACAAGAGACACACGGGTGAGTCTTCTGTGGCTTTGCTGTTCAGAAAGACCTCAGAATTCCTCTACACTTGAGCAGAATCACCTAGCCTCTAAATCATTTTTGTTTGTTTTTAAAAGAAAATAGCTTTGTACTGTGTCGGATATTTATGGAGGACCAAAAATGACTAAAGTATAAATAAATAAATAAATAAATAAATACAGGAATATATTAATAAATACATTCATTTTGGACCATAAAAACTAAATATTTACATTGATGTGTTAAATATTACTATGAAATCAAATAAATATACTTTTATTTAGGTTAATCATCAAAATCTAAATTTTTTCCTTTATTTATATATCCATTTATTGCATATATTTATTTATCTATTTCTACATTTCTTCATTTATTTATTTATGTATTTCTACATTTCTTCATTTATTTATTTATGTATTTCTGTGTCGCTACATTTCTTCATTTATTTATTTATGTATTTCTACATTTCTTCATTTATTTATTTATTTCTACATTTCTTCATTTATTTATTTATGTATTTCTACATTTCTTCATTTATTTATTTATGTATTTCTACATTTCTTCATTTATTTATTTATGTATTTCTGTGTTGCCGTATGCTAATTAGGTGGGCGGTGCTGAACTCAATGATTGGTGGGCAGTAGGGCAACCAGACAGAAGCAAAGTTAAGCCTAGCGTACATCGACAGAGAAACTGGAGACAAGTTGCAAGGCGGCTTTTGGCAACTGAGAGGAGATGGTGGGAGATGATCAGTTGAAATAGGTCGATGTGAGCGCTCTTACAACTGGAGATGATCAGTCGGTCTCCAGTTTCAGTCAGTTGCCCGTGTTCTACTTTTCGGCAACTAGTTGTCCTCAGCTTCGGAGATATGACCCGATGTGCGCGCTCCATGCGCCGCTCCGACAACGTGCGTGTGTATTGCGTGTATTGCGAGCCCGCAACAGTGTATGTCAGAAAACACACTGTAGTTGAGGCCAGTTGCTGTCGATGTACGCGCTGTTATTCCCGAGACCGGTCTGATACTGGGAGTTGCCCGTTTTCGTCAGATTGTCGATGTGTGCGGGGCAGCAACTCATATGCGACGGATATAATCAGTTGCCAGTCCGATGTACGCTAGGCTTTAGCCTTCTCGGTTTGTGAGAGGATGTGAAGCTGCTGCTTGTTGAAGAGCGTCCAGCACAGTTGCATCAAAGTCTACCTCTGGGTCAGCACTGTGATGAACTAAAGCATTTAATAGTCTTTCCAGCCGAAAGAGTAGATAGTCCTCAGGTGCATTATGCTCAACATCATTAACATCATTTGCTAATGCTCTTAATTGATAAGCAATGGCTCCTAAAAAACTTACATTCGAAACTGCCATCATACCACACAAAAGTGCACAGAGGATCTCTAGCTAGCTAACAGAGTACCGTAATGTGAGGCAGTAATGATCGAGACCAGAGTTCACGCAATCCTAACCAATCCTGTTCTAGATTGAGTTCAGCACCGCCCACCTAATTAGCATACGGCAACACAGAAATACATAAATAAATAAATGAAGAAATGTAGAAATACATACATAAATAAATGAAGAAATGTAGAAATACATAAATGAAGAAATGAAGAAATGCAGCGACACAGAAATACATAAATAAATAAATGAAGAAATGTAGAAATACATAAATAAATATATGCAATAAATGGATAAATAAATAAAGGAAAAAATGTAGATTTTGATAAATAACCTAAATAAAAGTATATTTATTTGATTTCAGAGTAATATTTAGCATATCAATGTAAATATTTAGTTTTTATTGTCCAAAATGAATGTATTTATTAATATACTCCTGTATTTATTTATTTATTTATTTATTTATACTTTAGTCATTTTTGGTCCTCCATAGATATTAGCCTAAGGAGGGTCAATGTATTTACAGAAACCACTGTTCAAACATTTTTATTTTTACAAATCAAAGAGAAAAAAGTCCGAGGCACTCTGACGTAAATTAAAAATCCTTTTATTGTGGAAGGGACAGAGTGCCTCGTACTTTTTCCTCTTTGCTTTCTACATTGTTTTCCCTGGGATCCTCGAAGAGCACCTGACTCCTCACATTCACCCTGTATTAAATATTTTTTTGATCCCTGTTTGCACTCACTCCTCTTGTGTTTTTGTTCGATTGATCTTATGCAGAAAAAAATCTCCTATGCACTGTAAATATTTTTTTTTTTTCCATACAAATACTAGTAATTGTTTCATGTTCTTTTTAGGCATAAAAGATTTCATGTGTGAACTTTGTGGGAAAACGTTTAGTGAGAGGACGACTCTTGAAACGCACAAGCTCATCCACACAGGTGAGCTGACAGCTTATGGTTACGGTGATTGGTTGTGCAAATAATCGATCTTATTATGTTTTAGTCGGTAAGACGTGGACTTGTCCAACTTGTGACAAAAAGTATCTGACCGAGTACATGCTGCAGAAGCATGTGCACCTGACCCATGAGAAGGTGGAGGCACAGTCATGTGATTTTTGTGGAACAAAGGTTTCCACTCGAGCCTCAATGAACCGACATCTGCGGCGAAAACACCCCGAGGTGAGGCTGCGAACTACAGGACTGCACAAACCAAGGTACACCAAGTCTGGCTTTGATGGCTGTCTGTGTTGTGTTCAGATTCTGGTCCATTCTATGAGAACGGAAGAACTTGATGATCTGCAAGAAACCTCAACCATAAACAACTCTTCAATCGGCATTGGGCAGGTTAGAAATATCACTACTTTCAAACTTGTTGCAAGAATAATTTTTCAACAATTGTTTGCGTTTTTTTGTTTTTTTTCAGCCCACTCTTACATCAGAAAAGGATACGTTGTCTCAGGTTAGATCCAGCCGGCCTCCTCGCAGTACCAAAAAGAAGCCAAGAGCACAAGCAGAGCCAGAAGTCTCTGACACAGACGAGTTTGGTGATTTCACTGCGACAAAACAAGAACCCACGTCTGACTTCAGGACAGTCGTTGTCGGCGAGGAGACTGAGACCAGCTCTGCGGTTCAGAGCATTCAACAGGTGCAATTTCAATAGAGATCATGGTGTTAATAATATGTATAAATTAGAGCTGTCAAAATTATTGCGCTGACACACGTTATTTTTTTATTAATCGCGTTAAGAAAATTAACGCATTGACTCATGTACGGAATGACCCGCTCATGCATCCCATAATTACACTCAGAATGCCGCGGACACATGCGTGAGGAAGATGGCGACAGAGTAGGTCTCTGGGAATTCAAGTTTAAAAAGAATAGGCAAGTGACCGCGGGACACTGTTGTTTGCTGTATGAACTGAACGGGAGTCTGCATCCTCCGTGGCCGCACTGTTCTGACCCGGGGCAGGTGCGGCCGCTCTGGACAGTGGTTCCCACCTCCAGCGGCTGTCGCTTTGACAACAACACGGCGAACGGCGCATAGAACTATTATCTGCTTGTTGTGTGCGTGTCTTTGCGTAACCTGTGCATGCAATAAATACACCTCTGACGCTGGACTACGGAGCCTCAGTCTCCTCAGTGTCTTCTCCCAAAGCGCACTCGCAAAATTAAAGCTGGGGTACCTGATTTTTCCCTTCCACTACCAGTTCATGTTGGTTGTGTCCGAAAGTAAAATGTTGTGATGTTAATAATGTTAATGCCATTTTATGTGGATTTATTGTTGTTATAAAAAACAAATACAGTACATATGTACACTATGTTGTCATTTATCTTTCCATTCAAACAACAATTTACAGAAAAATATGGAATAATTTTACTCATAGTTAGAAATGCGATCAATTAATTTTAAAGCTGTAATTAATTCCATTAAACATTTTAATCGTTTGACAGCCCTAATACATGTATTAGTACGTGTTAATAACAGGGAATTGCAACTCTTTCAAAGTCACAGCCCAAACTTTGAAGCTGTAGTTTTTTCCACTGCGTATGAAAGTCCTTTCTACTTTCTTAAATAGTTGTATACACTGCAAAAAGCAACAACAAAAGCAGAGATTGAGCAGCCTGTACCCTTGGACAAACTTAATACTTAACTTTTGGAGGGGATTTGATTAATATAAGCTTTTAGCTTGTCCAATCCCTTTTTAATACAAAATTTGCGGGTAATCACTATGACATCAATGCGATTGATAGCAATTCAATATTTTAATTGAATGACAGCACTAATACTGTATTTACATGTATTTGTAATCAATACAAATGTTATCGATGCCATGTAGAAAGTCAATCCTCTTTGTCACATTTGCAGGTGGTGGTTCTGGCAGACCCCAATGTGTCTGCTGCGTCCTCTAACTGCTCAGTGGGATTGACCAACATCACGGTGACTCCCATCACAAGCACGTCCTCTGCTCAGTTCACCAGTCTTCAGCCTGTGGCGGTGGGGCATCTGGACAATCCCATCCTCACTGTGACCTTTGATGCGGTCAGCGGCTCGGCCATGCTTCACAACCGACCTGAGCTGGTTCCTGACACTGCGGGGCCCACAGCAGCCCCTCAGTCTGTGGCCCACTTCATTAACCTCACCACTCTGGTCAATCCTATGAGCCATTCCCTAGAGCCCTCCACTCTCGCTTGGAGACCTGTCCCACCAGCGGAGGGCAGCTCAGTGGCTCCAGGCCAAGACGCCTCTATGGAAAACCAGGACCATCGGAGCCAGGGCCAAGAGCTGGGACCATCTGGACAGAACCAGCCCCCTGTTGCACTTCCAAGTGACTCCTCTCAGCCCATGTTCAGCTACATGAAAGCTGAAGCGCTGGACGCTTCTCACCACATGACGTAGTCTGCACTCGCTGAGTGCGTGTATGTAGTTGTCACATAGATGCCTCTCCATGAACTAAAGGAAACTATGCTTGTTATTGTCATGTTTTTTTTAAAAATATATTGGCACATGTTATCAAATTGTAGCCAGATCTTTATTTTCTCATACTGTTTATCAATTCCAAACCAAAGCCTTTTGCTAAATTTGAGAATGCCTTAAACCTGCATGGTTGTTAACGTGTACTGATTATCAATCTGTTACTCAGTCTAATTAGAAAATAGTTAAACTGAGTTCTTGTTGTTGTATCCTGTGAATAATTATTTTTTTAATGTTGTAATTTACATTCTTACATGCTGAACCCCATGTATTACTTCAAAAGTAGAATTTGTTTTATATATATTTCTGACACTAACTTATCTTAATGACATTCCCATTTCATAGATGTTTCTTACAGATGCACACTAGAGGTCAGCATTGAGACTGGTTCTTGGGAACGCTCACATTTCTGATTACATGTCTGTCCTCACATAAAGACAAATCAAATATAGCTTTTATGGAAAACGTATGTCATTAGGATTTCTTCCTAACTACAAACCACTGTTTTATGGTTCAATTGTCTTTTGGTTTTAAGTCTTATTAAATACTCTATGAAGGTTTGAATGATGAAATCCTGCAGGTGTAAACATAAATGCCTTACTGTTATCTTAAACATCATCTTAATGGTCGCTCCCATAATCCCTGAACTGCATCACGGCTCGTGTGGCTTCTGCAGGGAATTGTAGTGTTGTCACGACACTACATTTCAAACTCATGGGACAATAAACTAATTTTAACTCAAAATAATAATCATGGGCTCACATTTTATTTAAGTTCTGATTTAGTTTAAAGTTGATTTCAAAAAGTGTCATTGTGTATTCATGGTCTTTCATTTTGGATCTAAAATTGCTCAGGTGAAATTAGGTTGTTTTTTTTGTTTTTGTTTTTTTTCAATACTTTTGACAGCCTTAATCCATACTGATCTTGTGTGTCCTCCGTATTCTGATTGGTTGAGAAACAAGGACACACAGATTATGTAATACTGTAAATATTGTCCATTGGTAAAGTATTGATGTGTTGTAAGTTTTTCAAGTGTATTCAAGGGCATACGGCTGAACTTTGTCAAAGTTACGGATTGCATATCTGACAATCACTCTATAAGGGCTAGAAGATATCAGTTCTTCGCTCATGTCTGCTCAATACATAATCAGTTTACCCTTTTAAATGCCTTCTACTTTGCACTTATTACACATGACACCACATACAGCCAGGGGCACCGGCTGTTGTTTCAGCACACATTTGCACTTCAGTCAGACCTATAACATTAGCACCAAATGCTCGTTCACACTGCTCCCCTAGTTTCACCTTGAATGTGCTGCATATGGTAATTTTTGATTTTCTTTGTTCTTATCTATCTGCAGAGTGGTCATTGCCAGTCAGGGATGTCGTAACTTGAGGGATTCAGAACCACCTAATAGTGAGTAACATTAATTATTAAAGCTACTTTCTTGTTTTGTTTCATAAATACATGTATTGTTTAAGATAACATACACTTTATTGATCTCACAATGGAGAAATGTACATACTGAGAGCTGATTGGTTGAGAACGGGCTGGTGCTCTTTCACTTATCTAAAAAGGTGAGGGAGGCCAAAAATACAAGAATGTGAAAACTAGATAAAATACTGAAAGAACCAAACAGTATTGAGAACTATAGGAACTAGTTAGATGGATTTCCATAACTTTTACATAGTTATTTTGTCGCGATTTCAAATTTAGTACTTAAGCTTTGATTGTTCTTTGAGATTATAAGAAATCAACTCAATAATATGTTTTGCGCTGAGTATTGTGCTCATTATAGTGGCTTGTGACAGAATGTTCTTGCTTAACCTAGATTATATTGCCTCTTACTTAATCCACCATGCACATTTAAGAATTGCACAAAACCTCTTATCACTCTTAAATACTGTATTATTGTGTATTTTCTGGAACGCACATAAACTATTTTGTGTTGAAAAGACACATTCACACGTTCCCAAAGCATGGCTGCTATCACGTACCACTTCTATTGTTAACATGTATTCCCTGTTCTGACCCAAGGCACTGTTGACTGGATAATGACCAACAGTGAGACAATAGACAAAAGCTGCGTTTATGAACAAATGCATTCCTGAGCATTTGGACTCAGGCACATTGCAAAGATTATTTTCTTCTTTTCTTAGCTGTAACATGATGAGATTTTACTGCAGGCTATGGTTTAACAATAGTGTGAGGCCATACAAAGACTGCAAAATGCCTTGTGGTCAATCATGTTTTTCTTTTTCTCCTCTGTGTTGCTTTTCATATGTAGGAAGTGAAGTCAGTTATCATTAGACCCTCCCCTTTTACCTGAAGAGGGAGGAACCACGGTGAGTTGGGCAAGTGGAAAAACAAGGAAGAGCTCAGCAAGCAGAAGTGTGTGCCTGACTTCACTGCTACACATTTTTAATTGGAGACGGAGAGAGGAGGGAACTACACAAACAGAGCCTCAATATGGATGTTGCGGAGTCTCCCCATGGAAACATGGGGCTGTTAAGGACCTTTGATTCCTCTGAGTTTGGCAGCTGGCAGAAGATTGGCTCTGGTGGCTTTGGACAAGTATACAAAGTTCGGCACAAACAGTGGAAAACATGGCTGGCTATTAAGTGCCCCCCCTCCCTTCATGTGGATGACAAGTAAGTCCCAGTTTTTTTCTCAAGGCTTAGATAAATGTGATCCATAAGATATGTCACAGATATGTTCAAATTGTATTATACAACTGACTAATTGAAAGTAGCTGAGGTTCCAGATGTAAAAAGTAATCAGTAACTGTAGTCCACATTCCATTAGTGGGACTTGAACTCTTTCTGATGGTACATGGATTCCAAGTTTATTGATTATTGACATGGTCCTATCTGAGATCTGGTTTAGCCCTCAACTAGAGCCTGTAAAGAGGTACATTTATTTTATTAGGAATTAGTTTAGTTTATTGGAAGGACTTTGTACAGGTGCATTAGAAATGTCAGCCCCAGTTTCAGCACCTTATCACATCTGTAGGCCTTCACTCCAAACATATACAGTGACATAGATGATCAAACTTATATAAATATTCAGATTACAATATACATCAATAAACGGCACAATAAAATAGTGCGGAAGTGGAGTAAGGTGCAACAGTTTCTTTTAAAGTGCATATTACACAACAACAGCCATCAGAGGGTACATCTGATGGCTACTGTATACACCCGGTTGGTACTGTAAATATAAACATGGTTATCAGGTTATCATTTCTCACATCATCTGTTACACCAATATTGTGCCCATGAGGGGTTATACCCATCGGCTACCAATCCTCACAGATCGTCTGGGAGTCCGCTCTAGGTGTCTTTGTAGGTAAAGACTGATTGATGGTGGTTTGGCTTTACATAACACATGCACACTTCCAACTTGATATAGTTTGTTAAAGCTCTTTAATAGAAATGATTCTGGACTTTAGTAATGGACGAGTCACACTCACAGCTCGTGTGGTCTTGGGTAAGATGAAGCCCACTCTGTACTAAAGAACTGATTTGCTCTAATCTCGACATTAGCTTCTGATGTAAACTATTTTTACTAAAATCTAAAAAGGAACATGGTAGCTTTTCAAATCACATCAACTGTAGCTACAGAGAGAAACATAATTGAATGTATTTGTACTTGGGGTTAATGGTGAATTTTAAACATTGTTTTTTTGTGTTTTGAGCAATGGTTTAAAGGACCTAGTGAAGACACTAATCATGTCCTGTTGTCATTGAAAATGAACAATAATTTATCGTTTGTATTTGTGCTTAAAAATCATCAAACAGTATTTGACATTGATTGTTGTTCACAATAGTGATAGTTACTGATTTAGTATCTTTAAAATCAAGGTAGATATCGTTGGTAGATGTGAGCTGCTAAGTAGGATATAATAAATATAATAAAGCGAAATGGGATTTCTTAGTCACCGTTTCCAAGCCGTGGCCCCACACACATCTGTATTTGAATGTGAGGACAGAGAGGTTATCAGCCACAAATATCTTCAGAGTACATAGTGTAATTCGACTTCTGTCTGCACTGACCCATACACATAAGCACACATATAGCGGCTCTTCTCAAAGCCACCATTGTCTGCTCTGACTAAATGCAGAGGCTGTGTGGCACAGACAATAATAGAAGCTGTCGAACCGGTCCTGCTGGGCTTCACTTGCAGCAGGGATAGTGTTTGGTTCTGCGAAGCTGTCAAGAAACACTTGGGATTATAGGTGGGCCTTATTTGACAAGTGTCCGCCTATTATTGTATGAGGTGTGAGCCTTCTATCCAACATTGTGGATTGTTCTCTTCATATAGAACACAAATGCTGAAGAAACTTGATACAAATTGCACACTAGGGTCTCTCTGCAACCTCTTTTCATCTTTCTGAACACAATTCCCAGTTCATCTCACCTACATTAGTCCTTTTTAGTGTCCCGCAATCTTCATTACGAGATGCCTTTTGAGCACAACTTCAAATGCATTTGAAGTAAGAGCAGGAATGACCCGAGCCGTTAGTGTTTGAAGTATGTCAGTGTAGCCAGTGCACTGATAAAGGCTGTTGGGCAATAGTGCTCTGTCTTACTCTCCAGCATTTTTTTGGATGTTTCTATTTTTCATGGAAAGACTGAAATGGCTTTATAATACAATAAATTAAAATAAGAGAGCTTCTTTTATCTTAAGGGTATTGTGAATTTGAGGGAACATTAAGCTCATTAAAACAGTTATATGCTGCACCATATAACAACTCTAACAACCTAGTTTCAATCTGCAGTCCCTGATTTAAATACTTTTTACAATTGCACACACAAATACCCAAAAGTTAGCAATAACAACAGTCAACTCTCTTTGACTCAAACACAGGATATGTAAAATATGCGCACGGATCTTGGTCAATAATCAACAATAGGTGTTAAAGGTGCTTTTATTTCCTTGCGTGGGATGTCCCTCAGTATGGTACATATTTTCACTATCAATAATCTGAACGCTTACATTGGGAGAGCTCGCCTCTTTGTAGATATGACTCGTCACAAACCCCACTTCCTGTCTCCAACATAAATACACCTAAAAAAAGCAGACCCTCCACCATGAAAGCTCAGCTGCAGTGATTATTTTTGTATTTTTTGCGATAATAGCTATTCTAAATATAGAAGATGAACTTCGCTGAGTGAAAATGGTATCTTTTAATGTTAATCAGTGACTGAACCTCCAGAGACTCGGCCTGTCTGCATGGGTTTCCATCAGGCTCCATTGGTAAAATCCTGCAATGAAGATAGTCCTGACCAAACCGAGCATAGTCTCAACTCTGCCCAGTTAAAGGATGGGTCAAATGCTGAGGTCACACTTCCCCTTGGGGTCAATTAACTCGCCACACAAGGGAGACTCAGATTTAATTTGTTTTATTTTTTACGTTTTCTGAATTTAGTGCTAAAATTTTCCCCTGACATTTTAAACTCTCATTCAATAGATTACATGTTATGAGTTAAACAAAAAAACGCCATATTTAAATGTAATTCAGCTTTGGTTTTGAAGAAGGGCTGTGCCAAAGATCAATGACTTAACTAGCTTTGACAGGCACCGATTATGTTGTAGTAACAACAGAAGGGGCTAAAGAGGAGGAAACTTAAAACTGCATGTTTCCGCTGAACAGAAATTGTAACTTTTTTTTTTTTTTTTTTAGGGACAAAAATTGAATAGATTGATTTCAAAGTGTTGTTGTGTGTGTCCCCACTGTAGACAGAAGTAGCATTTTCCACAAAGATTTCAGAAAGTGATAAAATATCACTTTATTATATTGTTTTTCTTTATGTTAAGGGACCGCTCTGAACTGCTCGAGGAGGCAAAGAAGATGGAGGCTGCAAAGTTTCGATACATACTGCCGGTTTATGGGATCTGTGGGGACCCGCAGGGCCTGGTCATGGAGTACATGGAGACTGGTTCTCTTGAAACTCTGCTGGCTAATGAGCCATTGCCCTGGGAGCTCCGCTTTCGCATCATCCATGAAACCGCTGTGGGCATGAACTTCCTGCACTGCATGTACCCACCATTACTTCACCTCGACCTGAAGCCCGCCAACATCCTGCTTGATGCACACTATCATGTCAAGGTAACATTCAATTAAAATGATAGTCCAGAGTTTGTCAGAAAAAGAGAGAGAGGTACATGTTTCTTTTTTTTTCATTCTTAAGCTCCCTCCCCCTTCCTTTCTGATTGGTCTTGAAGCTGCGCTTACTTTTCCGTGCACGCATCAGGTCAATGGGCCAAGATGTACGGAGGAGAGATTATAAATTTAAAAATTCCAATATTTAATCATAATTTATCATACAGCTCCTCACAGCAGCAGTAGAACGCTCCATTGATTTGAATGTAATTTCAAAACGTTCTACCGATCATTATTATTTGATAAACCAATAATGACCGCTGCCCTTTGGCAACGCACTCTGTGCTTGTACTTCTGTCTGAGCGAGAGAAGCTATCGAAGCTAGCCACGCTCAATAACACAAATATCAATCAACACATTTAAATGTTAATCGGAGAACACATTTTACATTTACATTCTTGACACCCATGCACAGACGTTTTCATGACAAAAATACTGTTTTAATGCGTCAAAAAGTGATCACGGAACCCGGAAGTAACTATTAACATTGATAGAATATTTTAGGACACATTTGAAGAGGATCTGATTATGGATTTAGGTTATGTTTATATTTGGGTCACTCACCGCTGATGTTCAGAATTCTTTGTTCACTTTTTCATGTAGTTCCAGAGAAATCCTAGCGGTTACCCGTCTGGCCACGTCACAGCGGAACCTTTGGGAACAAACTATTTTATATTTATCATTTTAAAAAGATCATGCCCAATATTAAGGGCTCATATATATATATATATATATATATATATATATATATATATATATATAATAATATTCTAATTATATATGAGCACGATGATTGACAGCCCTTGGCATCACTTGATTGATTAAAGTGGATTGCATCGAGGATTTTGAGCCTCGATTTTGAGGTCAATTTAAAATACAATTCTTAACATTTCAATTCATTTAGAGTTCCACTTTTAAGTTAACAATTTTTGCACACACAAAAATAACTGGGATAACCTGTACTTCATTGCATTTTAAAGTACACACTTTAAAAGTATTAAAATTGCCTGTATGCCCCACCATCTACCACCAGGTTTTGTAGGTTGTGAACCCTTTAAAAATGTCTGCTCTTCACTTGCTTTGGGCAGACAGGTGTCCAATCCTTTAGCAACCAAAGCCATGAGAAGGTAATGGGTGGGAACTATTCGTCCTCAGGTTTAATATCTGGATGTAAACACCTGACTGGGCTTGTCTTGACAAAGATGTGTAACTCCTGTTAAATCTCCTGTAAATGCGTGTGGGTGTGCGCAAACGTGACAAACCTCTTGTGCGTGCAGGGACATGATCGGCCTCTCCATCGCACCCAGTGTATATACAAACGTAGCTGTCACTCTTATTGGGCAAAGTTATCATGTTGTTAACCTTTTCTTCCTGCCACAGATCTCTGATTTTGGTTTGGCTCGATGGAATGGCCTGTCTCGGGGTGACGATATCAGCAGGGATGGCTTCTGTGGTACTATTGCCTACCTGCCTCCTGAGAGCATCATTGAGAAGGACCGAGTGTCTGATACCAAACATGATGTTTACAGGTGAGTACAGTGAAAGACACTTTCCTCATATCCACGTCTTCATCTGACAGAAAGCTCTTCTTACAGCTTCTCTATTGTTATCTGGGGAATACTGACACAGAAAAAGCCCTACCAAGGTAAGCAAAGATAAACCTTATTAGCAAGTAATCATAGTAATTCCACAAAAGTGCCCAATTTAGTCCCTCACACTATAGGCTTCTAAAATGGTATATTTATTCCTTATTTTTATATTTGTATAATACTTGTTTTGGTGGTGGTGGTCGTAGTTTGGTGCTCCTTCTCCATAAAGTGTGTGGTTTTTTGCAGGGGAGAATAACATCTTGCAGATCATGGTGAAGGTAGTGAAAGGGGTCAGACCAGACATGGGGGCTGTGCCTCGTTCCAGACCTTCAGCCTGTGCTGGCTTCCTGAGCCTCATGCAGCGCTGTTGGGCCACCAACCCCAATGCAAGACCCAGTTTCCAAGGTACACCTCCAGATCAGGTTCATTTAACATATAGCATTGAAATCCATCAGTTAAATCAGCAACTGATGGAAAGTCAAATAAGTATTCATGTCTGTCTGTGTCTGTGTAGAAATCACATCTGAGGCTGAGGAACTTTGCAGTAAACCTCAAGAGGAACCGAAGAGTCCCACATTATCTACTTCTGTGCCAGAGCTCGCTGCCGCCAACAGGCCGCTTTCTGATGAGGTAACAATCATCGTTGAATGAACCATCATGTTAGTTTGACATAAGCAAAAGTATTTGAAGGGAAAAATATCCTATGTGGCCATGCTTGCATGAGAAAGCTAGGTCCCGTCAGACCTGTGAAGCTGTGCAGGTCAGGGCCTGGTTAGTTCTGTGATGGAAGACCTCTGGAAAACCAGTTGCCACAGTGGGGTGGCTGTGGCTACAGTAGTAGTTTATCACCACCGTGTAAACAGTGAGAGAATAATGACATGTGAAGCGTCTGTGAGTGTCCTAAAACCGATGCATTATTATTATTCTCACTCACTCTGAAGTAAAATTACATAAATATCTTATGTCTGATTATATTTTGTATGCAGTATTTGCTTTATTTATAAGATTATGTTCACTTTTGTTTTTTGTAAAATATAGTGATGATAACATAATAATTAAAACAGACTCATAAGGTTCCTGTTCAAAACTGCCGAATTGGAAGGCCCTACCTATCTGCTGTTGCTTTTCATCACAAAATTGACCCTGTGACTTTTTTGATGCAAATGTAGAGCAGTGGGCAGGGCTAAATCCAATCCTCTATTCAGAATAACACATGGTCTGACTCTAAGGCAGGACGAAGATAATGAGAGCATACCAGTATTTAAACCTCACAAAGTATATTTTTGTCTATTTACTTAGTAATATCTTTGGTTAAAGTTTGATTCCAGGGAACGGTTGAGTCACTACAGGAATGTGGACAGATGAGTTAACCCGCGTCCTGCATTTTTGTTTACGTGACAAACTTGAAAATGGATGTGTATCCCTATGTCTTCCTAGACTAAATTGTTTGGTGTTGCTTTTGTTTGTGTTTTTTTTATAATCCCAATTTTTAAAGCTTTTTCTTACCGTCTTTTCAGTCAGCCACAATGTAGTTCCAAGTGGGAAGCAATGGCCAACATTGTATTTTATAGTGTATTTTAAACTAACAGCTTGTACCCATGCTTCTGTTCCACAGGTCAAAGGCGCCAAACCAGTGCGACCAAAGTCAGCCATGTTGCCGGAAAAAGATTACAGCCTGTCAGAACTGCTCAGCCAAGTGGATTCTGGAATTTCTAGGAGCTTTGATAGATTGAAAGAGGACAGCTGCCACAGCAAAGAGAGCACGTGTAAAAGGCTGTCGGGCATCTCCTCGGCAGATTCCGCCTTCTCCTCTCAAGACTCCATCACATCGTCCTTCGAGAAGGAAAACTCGTATGGTAAGACTCAATACTTAAATACTCATACACATTTCTGTATTTGAAATCTCTAAAAGTTGTTGATATTTTAGACTTGGCTGAGATCCAGAAACGAAAACTTTGTGAGGCCATCCGTATAAAAGATACTGCAAAACTCATGAAGATCCTACAGCCCCAGGATGTAGACCTCCTGCTGGAGGGAGGGGACAGCCTGCTGCACCACGCCATCACCTTGAACAATGAGGAGGCTGTAAAGTTTCTGCTGCTGAATAATGCCAATTCTAACCTTGCTAATGCTCGTGGCTCCACTCCTCTGCACCTGGCCACAGAGAAACATCTGAAGCCTCTGGTGGAAACACTTCTTGGCCGTCGCAGCACTAATGTGAATGCCAAGGATGAAGACCAGTACACACCGCTGCACTGGGCCGCACAGAATGGAGATGAGGCCATCACGCGCCTTTTGCTGGACAAAGGCGCTGCTATCAATGAGACTGATGGTCAAGGACGCTCTCCAGCTCATGTGGCCTGCCAGCACGGGCAAGAGAATGTAATTAGGGTGCTTTTGAGCCGAGGCGCCGATGTCCACGTCAGAGGAAAAGACAACTGGACGGCCCTGCACTTTGCCGCCTGGCAAGGTCACCTGGGAATCGTCAAACTACTGGTGAAGCAGGCGTGTTCAGACATAGACGGCCAGACCACAGATGGGCGCACACCATTGCATTTAGCTTCTCAAAGAGGACAATACAGAGTGGCACGCATCCTGATTGAACTGGGAGCAGATGTGCACACGACAGCTTTGGGCTCCTACACAGCTTTGCATGTGGCTGCAGAGACGGGACACACCAGCACCTCCCGCCTCCTAATCAAGCACAAGGCTGATATCCATGCTCGGAACTCTGTGGGCCTCAACCCCCTGCACCTGGCATCCCAGCGCGGGCACTTGGCCACAGTGAAGATGTTGATTGAGGAGGGGGCAGACCCTGACAGGTGCAGCCACGCCTTGCGCACTCCCTGTCACTTTGCAGCAGAGAGTGGCCACTGTGAAGTTCTTAAGGAACTTCTCCTTCACTGTCCTGATGGGGGCGCTCTCCCAGACAAACATGGCCTCACTCCACTGCACCTCGCAGTACAGCAAGGACACACAAATATCATTAAGGTGCTTGTGCCACAGGACAGCCAGGACTATGTAAATGAAAACTCTGGGAAAAGTGACACAGAACACTTGCAGCCATCTGCGTCGGTTAGACAGCGGAAAGTTGTTATTTTGAAACTTACAGAGCACAATGACAAAGACGGTTCAAGACCCCTGAGTGAGCATTTGGCCTTTGCTCCCTGTTAACACAAGGCCGCAGCAAGGACCTCAATGTACAGTGCAGTGTAAGCTAGCTGTGCGTCAGAGACTGCAATGTGGAGCCTGTCGCACACCAAAGTCCTTGTATGGATTTTAAGCCTAAGTATGTAAATATGGACTCTGTAAGTAGCTGCTGTAATATTTCATTTAGTTCTTTTTAAACCAAACAAGCACGTTTCAAGTATTTTAATCTTTGGGCCAAGGATACAAAATTATTGCATTCGCATTATTGCTCCCGTTTGAAGCCAGTAAGCCTGTAAGTTATTTTGCTCTTGAGATTTTGTATTTGTAGAAGCCATTTCATTAGTCCGGTAATGAGTGCATTCAGTGTTTTTTATGTTACATACCAGTGCTAAAATAAAAAACGTAGAGGAAAAAAAGTTGTATGTTTTTTATTTTATCCAAAATGTAATATGTGATTCCACATATCATTTTGTTTTTATTAGAATTAGTTTCAGTTTAGTTTGTTTTGTCACAGTGATTGTTTTCCAAACTAAATGTAAAGGGAATTCTTGTTCTTAGCTCATCCGTTTTTCACATAAAACTAAGACAAAACTGAGCTACACCATAGAAAGTAAAGTTAATAATATACAAATAAACATGTCAAGGATAAAATGTAGTAATCTTGACTGACTTCAGAGAGAGAATTCCTAAGTTGTCTCCCTCTGCACATACGAGACCCAACAGTGCTGCACATAGTGGATCTGGCATGTCTGCATCTGCCGGCTCTCCTTTTTTTCCTTTTAACTATCCCTTCCAGACCCCACAGAGCATACTTGCGTTGGCACGACTCATGGGAACCAGCCCTCCGGGGGCTCTCAGGGTGCAAAATGATAAATGTGATACAAGGGGCGATGATGTTCTACCTGCTATTCCAGCCTGTTGGCTAATTCCTCAGACCACTTTATTTTTTCAGCACTCCTTAAACCAACATGCCAGCTACGACTGCTCCAGGGCTTGGCTTTTTGTAACCCTAGTAACGGCCTGTGGGCGGCTGTTTGTAATTGTCCTGTTCTTAGAACCAGTGCTGGCTGAGACCAAAAAATGACAGGGCAAATCTGCGTAATCTGAAGCTTCTTTTTGTGTACCTGGAGCTCTAGCACTTGTTTTGTGGTGATATGTATAAACTGGATAATTGCAATAGTCCGTCTCCTCTTACTCAGGCTTTATGATTGAAGGGTTCATGTTAGGCCTCATAAACACTTGTTCGTGACCAAATATGTGTTTTTTTTATTCTCTCAGAAGGCATACTTTTTTTGGTACACACACCATTTGCAATATCTGATACGGTGCCTTGTGATACAAGATTTCATTTTAGATTTTTATGACTGAAACAACAAGCAAAATGATACAAGATTTTATTTATTTTTCAAATGACCATACAACATGAGTTTAATCTTTAGAACACTTTTCTGCAATCACAGCAGAAAGTCGTGTGGGGTATAACTACAAGCTTTGAACATCATATTGTCTGACGGTTTTGCCCATTCACTCTTACAAAACAACTCAAGCTTTGTTAGACATTTGTGAACAACCATTTTCACAGATTTCACTGGTCTGGACTTTGAGTAGGCCATTCCTACATGAACATGATTTGTATAACCATTCTAATGATGACTCGGGAAATTGCCCTCCCTGGGTTAACATCCACCCCAACTTCAGTTTACTAATTTCAGCAGCTTATCTTCCAAGATTGACCTGCATTATGCTTCCAATCTAATCACTTCCCTTTCCTTGTTGAAGAAAATCAGGCCATCCCCATATTTGAGACTAGGGATGATGCGCAGAAGGAGAAGAGCGAGTTAATTTTGTGCCATACATTCAGTAACATCGTACACTTTGGTCAAAGAGTTCAATGTCAGTATCCTCCGACCACAATGTGTGATACTTGCCCATGAACAGATTCCCCCAGATGAGCTGTGGAAGTTTCTCCAGAAAAATCATTGGCCTTGTGTCTGAAATCTTTGGTGCTTTTGGCAGACAGCTGTGTCTTGGTAGGGGCATACTGCATACTTTCCATTCCCATATGACAGATTAAACTGTGCTTTGTGAAATGTTCAAAGAATGGAAATGTTTTAACACCGGCTATGCTTTAATCTTCTCCACAACTTAATCCCTGACATAGCTCTGAGGCCCTCACAGAACAGCTGTAATTATACTGAGAGTAGATTAAACATGGGTGAGCTCCATTTGACTGTTATACTGTATGTGAGCATTCATCAGAATTAAATGAAGAATTAAATGTGCATAACACTTTCACACGCCAATCTCCCACCTTATCAGATCTCCACCTCCACATCTCCTGTGTATAAACAAAAACACAAAACGGCGCTCCGCTACCTGCACCAATGTGGAGCCACTGAGTCTCACTGCCTCATTACCTGTTGGTTCTCTTCAGGTCACAGTTCAGATGGCTTATCACGCAGTCATGAATGGGGTGCTTCAGTCTCCTTCCTTCCGCTTGCCTTTGGCTTAGTCATGAGTCTTGGCTAACACGGTCCATCCCTGAAAAGATTATGCAATATCAGAAGGGGGGAAATCCTTGTGACCTTCCCGTACAATACCAAGATGTGTAATGTTATGTCACCTTGTATAACCTAAAGGTATATAAGAGGATTTTCTACGTCCGGGTGGACATCAAGACTATTGGTCCTCCTAATTGTCAGTCATTCTGGTGATACATGCTCGTCAAACAAGACCAGAGAGAATTGTTCAATAAAGTGGAGAGGGCAGTTTTTTCCTATCATTTGGGGAAATCCTCCTGTCTATCTTTAATGGTGGTCAATTCACTTCCTTGATGACATTATAAAAGATACTAAAAGTCAATAGTTGAGGATATTTTTTGCTAAAGTTAAAGTTAGTCTCCAAAGCTTGTGAACCACTGCTTTAGACCACTGCTTTTATAACTACTTTATAATCACAATCAGAAAAAGTAGTGATTATTAAAATAGTAATACATTTAAAAAACAAAATACATTAATAAACATAAATGGTGTTTTTTTTTATGTGAAAGAAAGTTGTATATTTGACCCGATGGCAGCATGAGCGATCAGCACAGCACCGTTACTTTCCATCACAATGGTCTTTAAGATGCTATAGGATTAATTGCTTAGATGGTTTTCTCTTTATTATTTTTTATTTGACCTTGTAAAGTACATTTAAAAGAAAAATGAAGACAAGTTGTATACTACTACCGTACTTATGTGAAAATCAAAATTTGGTCATTGTAAACTTATCGCAATAATGTCTTATTTAAATACTGTAGACATGGAGACATCTGCCAAAACAATATATTTCTTAACTGTTTAAAATATATATTATGTTTATAATGTTTATTGTTAAAAATGTACAACTTACAGTACAGACCAAAAGTTTGGACACACCCACCCATCTCCAGAATTTTTTGTTTTCATGACTATCAAATTGTAGATTCACACCGAAGGCCTCAAAACTATGAATTCATTCTTGTGGAATTATGTACGTACAAAAAAAAAGTATGAAACAACTGAAAATATGTCTTATATTCTCGGCTCCTCAAAGTAGCACCTTTTGCTCTGATTACTGCTTCACTCGTGGCTCTTGATGAGCCTCAAGAGGACCTGAAATGGTCTTCAACAGTCTTGGAGGAGTTCCCAGAGATGCTTAGCACTTGTTGGCCCATTTGCCTTCACTCTGTGGTCCAGCTCACCCCAAACCATCTGGATTGGGTTCAGGTCGGGTGACTGTGGAGGCCAGGTCATCTGGCCCAGCAACCACCACTCTCCTTCTTGGTCAAATAGCCCTGACACAGCCGGGTGTGAATCTACTGTCAATAGTCACGAAAAGAAAGGACACTCATTGAATGAGAAAGTGTGTCCAAACTTTTGGTCTGTACTGTACATATCTGAAATCTGTGATGAAATCAAAACCCCTGGCTACAGATCCTCCTGAAATTAGAATTCCATTCCATCTTCTTCCGCTTCATCCGTTGCCGGGTCGTGGCAAATTAGAATACATTTTTTTGGATGGGGTCGTCCGGCCAGCAGTGCTTATTGGCGGGCTAATAAGCCCTGCAGGGTCACTGGGCAGGGCCAATGGAAGATGAAACCCAACATTTATCAGGACAATCCAGGATCACCTAAAAATGCATGAATACAAATGCAGCTGAAAGGTAAAGAGTCCTCAAACGGTTCACTCTGTCAGGAATCCACAAAGTGCACGGGTTAACGTGACTGAACTCATGAATTGTGATGTTCAAACCAGAAATAATTGTTTTCAAACTTAAATCATTGTTATGTTGTATATTTGTGACAATGTTTATGTCAAATAGTTGGTGATGTACAGTGAAAAGCTTTTTGGATTGAATTGTGAAATATCCTTGTCTCCAACATAGCATCCTACCCCAACATAAACAGTTCAAAACAACTTATAAATAACAATTGCCCAAAATGTTATTTTTGCTCAATTCTCTTTTTCTGTTTGGACAAGAAACAGCTGCATGTACTCTATCTAACACTAAGAAAACTAAGAACAACACCTGGACAGTTTGGTGATGTGTTCCAAAACAACGTAATTGTTCAAAAACAAGATTTGATTACAAAGCTAAAAAGGTTATAGATTACTTGATTAGTCCAAAGGTAATGAACTGTAGATGATTACTAAAATAAGTGATAGCTGCCATAATAATTCACTAACTAAACTTTTATACAAATACTGTTGAGCTATAGTGTATTATGATAGTTCTGTTCAGAGCGGCCGGTCTGACTGCCGGGACGTCTCAGTGATCTGACTCATGACTGATCAGCTGAATCACTGAACATGTGTCTGAGAATAACAGGTTTTAAAACAGGACCAATGTATTTGTGACTCTCCAAACTACAGGCTACACATGAATAAATAATGCTGATGCTTAGGTCCATTCAACTGTCATTGATTGAAAGAACAGAGTGAATGAAACCAATGAATGTGAAATAAAGTGAGTAATGAGTGATAATAATATTCATGCTTTCATTATACAGCTTCATACTATTTGGACACAACATTGCAGTCTTCACTTCTTCATCCACTCCTCACACAGCGGTGGTAACCATCAGCCACAGCTACAAGGATTGTCCTCGGGAATGTGGTTTGGAAAACAATCTGCTTTGGGTACGACAGGCTGTGGCCAGGTTATTTTTATATACACATATCATTTATGCTTTACTGAACTGGCAGAACGAGATCAGGCTTATCTAAAAGCACCTAACGTGTCACAACAGGTTGTTTGCTGCTGGTTGCACTCGGCTGCCGATGTAAATCAGTGATGATGACTCTTATGATTTATGACAAAGTAGAAAAACTTCTCTGAAAGAGGTCGTGCACATTGATGGGTAACAGTGATTACAGTCCAAATGTTCCAGATTGCTGTGCTGTAAGAAAATATTAACAGTGATATTTCTTGTAGGTAAGTGGGCTCTTTTACTGAGTTTGTCACAGCTGCCTTGGGGCAGACTGACAGAAGCAGCTTCACCAACAATCATTCACCATCATCATCATCATTTTGCATACTTGTGGGAGGTGCCTGGCCTAAGGGCACAACAGAGTCAGACTTTTAATCAGAACAGGCAGCTCTCTGATTTCTTTCTGACAACAGCCTATAAGAGAGTTATAATAGAGACTGTTAACAGAGAGCTAAGGGCCTGGTAAAAGCTTGTGTCTGTGAAAACAGTTGTGTTCAGACAGCAGTCAGTACTTGAATGATTGGTGGTCGGAGGGTTCAGTGGCGTCAGCCAGTCTGCCCCAGGGCAGCTGTTGACCTACGGTAACTACCTCCACCATGTGTGCATTGAATGAATAACGCACCGCATTTTAGCAACTTTGCAGCAGAAATGCAACTTCCCTACTCCCTTTGCTCCAGCAGAGGGCGGTAGTTCTGTAGACATGTTCAAAACCAAAGGTTATTTTCCCCACAGTAATGTGTGATTATAACTTCTTCGATAAACCAGAGCATCTGTGATTGAACATACCCTTTCAACATCCACAAGTATCATGTTTACTAAACAAGTATTTATGGTGAAGGTTTGAGTCTGATGAGGACCATTGCGCAGAGACATTTCCACAGGTTTTTTGCGCAATCAGTTTTAATGTGAGACGAAATAAAGAAAGCGAAAGTTCACTGTGATGGTCACAAACGTTTATCTCTATGTTTTGTTTCACAATCTTGACTTTGTTCAACATGCTGTGGCTCGTTTGGATTAAACTATTCCCATGTGGAAAGGGCTGGAGAACAAATGTATACTTTACACCGACAATAACCACCACAAGAGAAACAATCCTGTCCTATACAATTACACATTCTGCTCTCGTACACTAGATAAAACAGTCTTTGTGGCCGACAGTGAAGCTTCTGCCTTCTTCCCTGATCTAGTGGTATGTTCCGGAGCTGCTGTGGATTTGCCGTGACGCGCTCGGATCTCCGTGTTTACCTCCGGGGGAAGAGGTCTGGGGGCTAACAAAGCACTCACGACCCAACTTCTGCAACGACAAAGGTATGTTCAGCACAGATCACTCCCACACACCGCTTATTCGACTGGACACTGGCATTAGTTGACATTTATCCGGATTTTAGCGCCTCATAACGGGATGGCACTAATAATAAAAGGGGCTGCTCACAAAGCTAGCTCAGTTTAGCAAAAGATCTTTAACCACAGACAAGTTATTATTATAGATCCATGCAGACAAGTCCAGATAACTACGTGTGTCGTCCATTATACCAACACACAGTTTTGATTTGTGTTAAATACATCGCAATGTTAAGGTTATACCACCTTCCATGAGCGTTTTCATTGAAGCTTCCCCATGAGCACAAAGTCAAGTTACTATGTCCTTGATCATAATAATACTTAGTTGAAATTGGTCGAAATAGTTATTATATTTGGTGTCCTTCTGACTTCATTACAGCTTGTTTCGATTATGGTTGTTTTGTTGTCTTTGTTGTGTTTTCTCCAGCCTAGTGCACATGGTTAATGGTGGATAATACAATGTTTAGACTAGAGAAATTACACATTTAGGTTCTTCTGGTTCCATGGTGCTACTCCGCCATGTGGTATTTGTTGTTAGTGCTTTGTTAGATAAATGCTTATGCTTATGCTTACAGTTGATGCCAATAATATTAAAGATATATGGCTAAATAACAATGTAACATCACTTTATAACTGTGATCACTCATCAAGCTTTCTATCCCTTGGTTCATATTTAGTATGTGGTACCTAAAGCTGGGTACCTAACTTTCGAACCACAAAGAAATGTATCTATAAATTATGTATCTATAAATGATGTATTCAAATCTCAAATGGTTCTTTCACTATTTTTCACTTGCATGTATCTTTAGGTCAGCTTTTTCCATAGAATACCACAGTCACTCAGGCAAGTATGCAAAAGGTAAAATGTTTTCTAATAAGATGAAGATGGCATTTTGTGCTGTGATTTGTCCACAACATTTTACTTTTACAAGATTCTTTCTCATGAGACAATTACTTTCATTATTTATGAAACAAAAAGTTGGATACCCTGGGACTATATTACAAATTCCAGATGTCCCATAATATTAAAAAAGTGTGGTTTTCCATTGTAATAAATATTGGAGAACAAATATGTACAAATTGCATACTTTTTATTATCATTATTATTATTACTACCATTAAAAATGTTGTGAAGACAATAGAATGCTCTTCTATAATCAAGACAATATTGTGAAAGTCTTGATTCTTTCTCACAATCTTAAACTTGTGAGTTTTATCTCTTGTATTGAGCGCCCTACTTTAACCTGCAGCCTCAGCTTTTACTTAACACAGATCTGCTTTGACCTTTATGCTGCAGACAAAACAAGGCCAGTGTTGTGCCTTTCTCTAGTACTTTCAAGATTTCAAGATAATTTGCTCCAAATCCTGTTTCACCAGAGACTGCCAACATTTGCATTATTATTTGGTTTAGCAATAGCATGACCTACTGTAATTAGCCAGAAAGAGCCGTAGACCCTAGTGTAAAACTTCCTGTCTTCTTATTTCAGCAAATTCAAAATGGATGAAGAGGAGCATTTTGTGAACATCGACCTGAACGACGACGACAATATTTGTAGTGTTTGTAAGCTGGACACAGACACTGGGACATTATCGTTTTGCCATATCTGCTTTGAACTCAGTATGGAAGGTAAGCCTTTCAGTGATAATTCATTATTTACAGGTTTGAATGTTACCTTAACCCTCTGCTTTAAATATATTTAGGATGATTTTCCATATAGTTCCTCCTTTCGGCCCTTTACCTTCTTCTTCCTCTTCTCATTTTCTCATCTAACCCTAACCGATTATGGTTTTTTGGCTTCTGCTGGTTTTCCATTTTAAACAAAATCACAGACAACTGGTGTTTACTGCTAACTGACATAAAAAGATCAGCTACACTGTGCGGCTGGAGAAGGGTGATAGGTGCTGAACACGTGACTGTGAGGCCAATCATTTGCACCCACCAACATCTCCCTCATACTCTTTAAGAACAACCCTTTTACCCTTTGTGTGAGCTAATGCTTCACATGAGAAGAGATGAGCTGAGAGCTGAACTCAAAAGCCCAAAGTAAATGGATCTCTGGTCGGGCACAGACTGCTGTATCGCGTGTGCTGCGCTGGTGTCAATCCTTCGAGGAGAGCGTGTGCAGAGCGTAGGCGCACAGGCATGTTGTCTGGAGGTCTCGGCTTAAAGTGTCTTTAGTCACTCTGTGAAAATGACACTCTGGTACTCAAAGAACTTCATGCTGCTCTAAAACAAATCCCTTAATTGCGTTTTCCATTTGTACTAATCCATCTTTTTGTCTCCTCAATTTATTCAGAGAAAGAACTTGATCCAATCGTCATGCTTAGTGCACTGAACATACGTCTTTTGCACCAGTGGTTTTAACCCGACTGTGTATATACATTACCAACATGGAGGATGTTTACTTTATTATTGGAATGCCCCATGAGATGTGCCATCTCGTTTTCGAGGGGGTCTCTATGATGTTGTGTTTTTGAAGTGGATGGACCGTCTCCAGCCTGATGTGATGTGCTACAACTCGATGCGTGCGTTTGAAGTTTTTCATCTTTTAATTAATATGCTGCTTGTTGGACAGAGAAATGCATAATCAGAAGGATTGTGGGAGCTTTCTTTCATATCTCGTCCACATTGATCCTTAAAAGGTCTTTTATACCAGGAACAGATGCATCTGTTTACTCATTTGTGGAATAATTATGTGCCACTTAAATACAGTAGTGCCTGGGAGCTCCGGGAGGGTGTATATTATCAACTGCAGTAGAAAAAACATTTGCATGAAAGATTTATACAGAGCTCTTCAGATAGAGCAGCTTTGCACATGTTTATTCATTGTTTTGCTGTCTGAGGTCTCCCACAAGTTCACCCATTACATTTCCCTTTTACTGAGCTTTACATGATCGGGAAATGCAGAGGTGTGGACTTGCAACTTGTGACTACTCCCCTGCAAAGAATGACAACAGAAGTGGGATAGGTTGGACTTGAAAGGTTGGACTTGACTCACTAATTTGAGGACTTGAGACCTGACTTGGTAGAATAGATCAAGTCAAGATTGTTTATTTTGGAACCTTCACATATCAACATAATACAATCAAGAGCCGTATTTTCCCGACTATAAGCCGCAGCGTTTTTCCTGCATTTTGAAGGCTGCGGCTTATAGTAAGGTGTGGCTTATTTTATACATCTTTCCTGTGTCGCCAAAAACATTTTGCCAAGTAACAGTAGACCAACAGAATTGATAAGTCGTTCACAGAGGTCCAATGAAATGTAAGATTTGTCAATAAAACAGATTAAATAAATTTGAAAAATCTTCATTTATAATATCTTTGTGTAAATATTTCATATAATAAATAGTTTTTTGGTTCTTTGTACAGACCAGTAGATGTTGCTCCTTATCTTTCTGCTTCACACTGGAACATTCAGAAGAGTCAGTGACTCACTTCTTACTCTTATTACTCACAGTAATAAGACGTTTTTGAGAAAAAATGTCAATATTACAATGTGGGACTTATAATCCAGTGCGAAATGTATATCTTTCTACAAAATTGGAGCCTGCGGCAAAATACGGTAGATGGATTCAGGGTATATACACACAGACATTGGTTCATACACCGTGTACGAACTTTATGCAAGTTCCCTTTTGAGGATTATATATTTTCTCAATAACAGCAGTTCTTTTGATCCATGCATATTAATTTTTTTTATACTACTTTTTATTTCATTTATTTTGGCAATAAACATGCATCCTATAGTTAATAAAAGTCAAAATAATAAGTTCATAATCTGCTCTGACAACAACCCAACTCTACTACAATAAAATACATGAATTGGCTGCATTGCTGCATGGGTCGCAGGGTTCTTCTCCACCTCCTTCACCTCGCTGGAGAAATCACTGGAATATTATGACTATATCTGATCCCACCACAAATCTGATTGATCTCAATGAGGGATGTGTAGATACATACATTACATATAGAACATACATGATACAAATGATTCCTTCTGTGTTCAGCTGCACAATGGATATTATGTAACAGATGTGTCTGAAAAGAGTCATACAGAGCATCGAGAGAGGAAAGGAGGGTTTGGCTGCATAAGGTGACGTAAAGCCTGAATGAGCTCAGACAACACAAGTGCCATGCAGCCAACTGAGAGTAGATGGTGACTGCGAGTGGGACTGCATGGTGAAGTTTTCATTGCAGATTTAGTAATACTAGTATTTGTCCCTTAGTGTAATGGCTTGTTGTTATCAATTATTTGTGAAAGTGCAGAGAGCTCTCAGTTCTGCTGAGACAAACCTCTTGAATGCATGGGGTTTTCCACAGGAAACGTCTGCAGCCATTTGGTATCTTTTAGTATTTAGTGTCATAATGAAACTACTTCTAACTTTCATTATCTTTATTTTTTATCTGACCACCGGCCCTTGAGAGCAGGTGAAGACCCAGATGTCTATATGATCTCTGTCCGCCGTTACTATCACTTTAACAAAGTGGTGTGATGTGGCTCGTGCAGCTGTGTTCTGTCTTCCGTTGCAGGTGGTAGTTCACACGTTGTCGACTACAAACATCTGAGCCTTTTGTTGCAGTTTTCTAAAACACAATAGTGAGAAGAGACCCCTGTCCTGTGTTTCTTTGCTGTTTCCTTCTGTAGGACTAGAACGTGTGATGAGTACATCTGAATTGGAACATATTTTTGTCCCTTGTATTAGTAAAATACCCCCTGTCTCTATCCTGTCTGATTAGTTTATATCTTTCTTCATTGTTACAATGATGAACTCAAGAAGTTGACTAAGTACTTCCAGTGTTGAGAGTAACATAAGTAATGTAATTACTGTAAAGTATTGCTTTTTGCAGTAACGTGGTAATGTAAGGCATTCCAAAAAAACCTGGGTCATATTTTATTTGGTAACGTGTGTTACATTGCATTTGTACCCAAAATTGAATTGCCCTTTGTTTTTATACTATGTCACCCCGAGATCAGCAAACGAGAAAAATCTACCCCAATAGCCGCCTAAAAGTTTTTTTCCTTTCTGGTAGAAGATGGCTGAAGCTGAAGCTATGCGGAACATTGTGCCAAACCAAAAGCTCTATTAACCTAAGAGCCTAATAAGGTTCACATTTAGTATGTTATATTTGGTTAAAGGAACATAAAAGTAATGCAGAAGTATTCTAATGCTTTACAATTTTAGGACAGTAATATTATAGTGTAACATATTACTTTTAAATAACGGTAACACCCATCCATCCATCCATCCATTTTCTTCCCCTTAATCCATTTCTGGGTCGGGGGGGTGGCAGTCAGAGCTGCACCCAGGACACAGAGCACCAGCCCCTCACTGATCCTCCTGCAGGTGGTGAGTCCACAGGAGCTGAGATCTTTCAGTGGGGGCTTTTAGGCAAAGTGGGGTTAAGTGTCTTGCCCAAGGACACAACGACAGTAGTCATCAGTGGGAGTTGTGAAGTAGGTCTAACGGCGGGCTTGAACCCACGACCTTCAGGCCCAAAGGCCAATGCTCTACCAACTGAGCCACTGTCGCCCTTACAGTAACACGTAATACATAATGTATTTGAAGTGACCAACACTGGTTACTCTACCGCAGCATATTTTTGTCCTCAAATGACCTGGCCACTCAGACATTTCATTTTTCTGTTTACCCTGTAAAAGGAAAACTATGTATTAAGTATCGCTTGAATCAGCTGCAAATAGGCCTAATCCCATCCCTATTCTATTTTTGGCTGTTTGTCAATCTTGTCAGCCTATTCAGATGAAAAGAAAGAGCCATTGCTGTCCGTTGTTAATCTGCTGTATGTCTTTTAGTGGTACTGCCAAACACCACTGACTCGCCTCCAATGAATAGCCCGTGTGTCCATCAGAGAGAGGTTCTGGCCCAATGCTTTTTCTAATCACTTGTGTCTTTGTGCTATCCTAAAGCAAGTACCAGTAGCCACTGCTGCTGTTTTTAAATGTGCTGCTCAAATGAGCTTGACTCGGTAAAGCACCTTGATAAGTGATATTACCTTTGAATCGTGGAAAGTGGATGTTACAAAAAATGTTCAGATGAAGTTGAGTTAAAATGTGTTTAATTCTAATGTATTTCGAACACAGGGACAAGATCCATAGCTAATAACATTTAAAAAAAATCATTATTATTATTATTATTATTATAATGAATACACACTTAATACATTCATAAGAGCGCTCAAAAAGGTTTTGGGACACATAGAGACATATGAAACGTCTGTAATTTCATGTTTACTTTAAACATGGTCAAAGGTATAGAGTTGTATTCATGCATGCTGAGATGTTTTAATCAGACCAGAATCAAAAGTATCATTGGGGCTAAATAAAGATCTGATCCAGAGTAAACACTCGCACCGAGGCTGCTTGTTTATGGTTGTCCCACAATTATGATGTGCCCACGTCTCGCCAACACAGCCCTGACTGTGAATGCAAATTAATGAGGCCATGATAATCTTTGGAGACATTTCTCATTTATATAATTTATATAAATAAATGTATATTATTTATTATTATGCATGAGTGTGGGGCTTTTGCATTATACAGTATAAGCACTATAAAACATCACAGAGGGTTCCCAGATTAAACATTGATGGTCTTTTTATACCGCCATACTGTAGCTGCTCAACATTTTGGTCAATGATGCTTTTACCAAAAACATGTGGCATAAGCTAAGGTTATTTTTAGAATACATAACATTTGTATACTTTACACAATCACTCTCATTCTGATAAGTTTGACAGTTGACTCTTCTTTCCTCAATTTGCAGGTGTTTCGGCTGTTACCCTGCTGCACTCTAAATCTCTTCGTGGCCACAGAGACTGCTTTGAGAAATGTCACCTCATCGCCAATCAGAACTTGTCCCGTTCCAAGGAGTCCCGAAGTGCCTACGAGGGCATGAAGCTCGCCCTCAGCCAAAAACTGAATCGTATCATCCAGTATGCCCAGAACAAAGACCCCAATGCCCCCAGCAGAAGAGGGGCTAAACTCTTTGGTTACAGTCAGCATGACGACTGCAAGCTGCTGCCACAGACGGACGCACAGGTGCCCCGCTACGCTCCTCACTGGGACAGCAGGAAAGCCACTGGGCTGCCCGATTACACCATGGGCATGCTGGACACTGTGGAGGAGCTGAGCTTGTTGCAGGAGGCAGAGACTGCGGTCTGGTCCAGCAGCAGAAATGGACTTCATAGTAATGCACCATGTGGAGGCGGAGCACAGCACAGACATCACGGCTACAGCAGAGATGAATGTAATTATTTTGTCTTTTTTTCTCTCCAGTTATGTACATGATCATCTTAATCCCATCAGACTTCTGAAGCTAAGCAGGGTAGGGCCTGGTTAGAGCGGTGATGGGAGACACAAGGTGCTACAGTGAGGCTGCTGTGAAGTGCCAAACTGCCATTGTGTCCCTAGGCAAGACACTTCACCCACATTCGCCTAGAACATGGGTGTCAAACTCAATTTGGTCTGGGGCCAAATTTAAAAATATAAGATCTGGGGCCAGAGGCATACAAGTGGTTATTTATTTAATTTAATTTGTTGTTCTAAAATTGACAATTTAAATGTATTTAACACTAGTTTGGATCATATTTTTTTCTAGCAGGTTTGGATTCAACCACAACTGGGCCAAAAATCAAGAAGAGATGTATTTGAAGACTGATATAAATAGTTAAATAACTATAACCTCTAATTACATTTCATTGAACCCTTTAGATTCAATTGTATGGTTGTTTTTCTGAAATAAAAGGCTTTGAAATGAAGTACAACATGCCATAGTAGCCCATCACCATCAATGCTGCAAGTTAATGTCCAAGCCATGTATAATCAACCCTTTTTTGTTGAGTACAGTTCAGGTTAAATACATTTCTAGGTAATATCTAGGTTTTTTCACCCTTTTTAGTCAAGCATGTCTTTAGTCATTTTCGTTCCTTGATTTATAGCTCAAAACGCAGAGTATTGTTTCCCAGGATTTGCTAATCCCCCAACATACAGTGTAACAACCCTGGAACAAATGTCATACTGCCTTTTTCTTTCAATCTCATTTCTTGTCTGCCTCGTTTTTTAATCAAGTTTCATCTTCTGTATCAAGACGAGACTTTTAAAAACCTCAAAGCAATTGTTTGTTCAAAGGCATCAGACGAAACAATGATGCAAGATCTCATTCATTCTTTCTCAGCTCGTTCTTGTCTCGCTTCAGTATTAAACTTGTCTCTTAGTGATGCACAAAATGTAATATAAATATGTTAACAAGGGTAATAATCCGTTCTCTGTCGTTTTAGTGACAAAATTGAGTGTGGATGAGCTTCACCAGCTGAATGACCAACTCCTGCTACAAATTCAAAGTAAGTTTTATTGAATTTTGAAATACTGTATACAGTTGAGCCGGTTGTAATTTTCCTCTTCTTTCATCCCCATAGAGATCTTTGAAGAGCTGACGGAGGTAGTCAAGGAGAAGGACTCGCTAGCCTCAGAGTTGCATGTGCGCCATATTGCCATTGAACAGCTGTTTAAGAACTGTGCCAAGCTGCCCTGGCTGCACATTAGCAGGGCTGGGGTGAAGGCCAGCAGTGCAGCTCCTGGAGAGTGAGAGGCAACTATAAAAGAGTACGCTAGCACATGCCTCAACCCAGGTGACAAAAGCATTGGTGAGAAATGAGATGTTTGTTTTATAGCTTTACGACATGTGGTAGGGCCATAAATGAACCACAAATGAACCCCAAAGCCAGGTGCACACTGACTCCGGCTTTGGTGCAGATCTTGGTAAACTTGGAAAGAGCTTAAACCAATGTGCCATGTTACACTGCCGGAGTGTGGGTGGAAAGAATCCGCAGCGGACTGGTCCTGTCTCCTCTGGTAATTAGACAGGTGTAAACAGGTTAACCACCATGAACCCTCGCATGAGTCACAGAAGAGTATTTTTTTCTTAATGAATTGACTCTACAATTGTCTACAAGATTATTTGTGAGTTTTTTTATTTTTTAAGAAGCAGCAAATTCAACAGGTGGGAAATGTTGTTTAGCCAAAAAAACCTGGGTTCTGATTTATCAAGGGTCAAAGTCTGGGTCGGACCTGTCCAAGTGTGAATAATCGCCTGATGATTTCCATAGAATTCTTCTGCAGTGTGAATAGGGCTTAACATGCAAACCCAATCTAAACACATGCTGCAACAAAGTCGAAGTCAGTGGACACGTAAGCCTCCAGCTGTTGTACTTCAAAACAGATATCAGTCAATTTAACCAAATGAAAATGGTTACTAAAACATTTCAATTGTTACTATTTAGTGGAAATGTTTTTAGACAAATGATGGGAATCTCATCATTTTCCAGTGCAGAAAGTGACCTGAAAATAAATCATTAGACTCAGTAACATACCAACATGCAAACAAAAAGGAGTCCTGTGTGTTTTGCATTTTATACTGAAAGAGTTGATGCTGCTTCATTGTATGATTTTAGTAGTTAAAACATTTTTAAGTAGTGTTCTCTGAAAAGACGTTGGTCTGTTTCAAGGACGAATTGACACTACCTTTTTTAATTGGTTTGTGAGATGAAGTTACTTGAAAGGATAAGTCTAACCAAAGCATTTTTATTTAAATCCTTCAGTAAAAGTTTTTTTTTTTAATGGAAGCATTGGTTTGCAAAGAGAAAGTGGGCTCATCGTTTGGGACTTGTTTTGTATTTACCGTACAGAAAAGATCATGTTGAGTGTATTTGCTTTTAAGATATTTTTACTGTATGAATTGAAATCAAAGCTGTTCAAGCAATACAATTGTGTGCTTAATTGTGCCTCTAACATGAGGGTGAATGTTGTATGTAGCTTTTGGCCGTTATTCTTTAGAAACCCTATGCAAGAAGGCCGACAGTGTCTAGAAGCCTTAAGTTGAAACTTTAAAATATTCTCTGAATTCAGAGATAAAGTGATGTAATTAGCTCGGGAGACATATATGAAGATTAAGCCAGCTTTGTTGTCTCTTCTAGTCTCTTTATAAGAGATATGTATATGACCCCTTCAAGGGTCTCATTTTTGGCTTGGATTATTGTATTTTTGTTTGTGTTTGAGTTTTAAAGATGTCATTCATTTTGTCAGTGTTATAAGTACTGATCCATAAGTGTTACATGCACTCACCAGCAGAGCTTTACTTGCCTTTTGTTGATACTTTGGAGTGTGTACAACAAATATTGTTTTCTTTACCTGTTTTTATTTAGGCTCAGACTGCATGTTTGTGTGGAAATACTAGAGTTGTAATTATTCTATGCTGACATTTTACAACCTGTGTGAACTGTGATCAAGTGACTGTTTTGTTTTATTTGAATAAAGACAACATTTTATTGTTTCTTTCGCCACCTTGTGGTCGTTATATATACTACATACTCATATCAGAGGTCAGGTATACTTTTGGCTGTCAGCCAAAAAAGTATCATACTTTGTAATGTATTTCTGTGGGAGCCACAGTGCACCAAAACCTCCCACTCCACATAAATGAATAAATACAGCAATAAAACAGCACCATTCTATATTGGCCGCAATAGACTGAAATGTTCAGCTGTCAAACTATATTGGTTTACAGTGCCATCTGCTGGATAAAAGGTGTCACATCATCATTACACATAAACTTCAAATGTTTTCACATTTGCACTGGCGAATCTAATATTACACATTCCATTAAGTTTATGTAAATGTCCCTCTCATTTCATTTTGTTGATATTTTCGTTGATAATACCGCCACCTAGTGGTAAAATATAATATACTTCAGCTAAACTCTGATTTGTTGTTGGTGAAGCAACAATTTTGTAAAGTCCTTCAAAACTACTGTTGTTATGAATGCTATACAAAACTAAATTGAGTTCTTGCAATGCACATAAAACTTGCGCCACACCAAACCCAGCAGCCTCTGGGCATTGAGCGTAAGGCAAGACACAGCAGTCACACAAGCTCTAGTGTAAAGACAAACTTTACAAGTCAAACCAATAAAAGAGATGTAGTTACCTCAAAACACTAAATTCAGTAAAATGAGTCAAAGTACTTCTAGAAAAGTGCACTGTAACAAACAATCTATGAAAGCTGATTTTGTTTAATTTAATCACATTGTTACCAGTTTCTTTCTTGCATGTAATCAAACTAATTCATTGTGTTTGACAAATCAAAAGTTTGATTAAACTAAAATAAACACAGTCAGTCATGTCATGTCATGTGAAAAAAAACAAAAAAAACAATAGTCATGGCACTACACCTCTGCTCTGAGAAAGCACCTCCTCCACCTATACACCTGTTTGACCTGACTGTATTTATTGTAGTTTCTCTTATATCTGTATTCTTTCAAAATATGAACCAATTAAATTTGAGTCTGAAAAAAAGATTTGTAAAAAGGACCCGCAGACAGACACTGCAAGCAGGTTAGGAAAAAGGCAAAACCCTTATTAAGATACTAAATAAGGGTTCCTCCTCTACAGTCCATGATGGAGGGTGACTTTGGCTAGCACCCTCCAGTCCCTCACCTCCTCCACAGAGTCCAGGGAGCAGCCCAGAGAGGAGCTGGCCCTCCTGACCAACTTCTTCAGTCTGTTTCTGTCCCGCTCTGTGCTGCCCGGGGCCCAGCACACGGCAGCGTAGTGGATAGCTGAGTCTACCACAGAGTCATGGAAAGTCCTGTACAGAGGCCTGCTCACTATACAGCCTCCTCAGAAGGGGGCAGCGACTTTGGCCCTTCTTGTACAGGCGTGCGGCTGCGCAGCCGGACCATGCAGTGAGGTGACAGTGCACTCCTGCGTCCTCCATCTTCCCTCGCAGCAGTGCCGGACTGATGGGGTTGACCCTGACAGCGCTCCCGGCGGGCTTCAGGTGGGGTCCAGGTGGGAGAGTCCACTGCAGCAAATAGATGACAGCATCCTCTACTTTGATGTTGGGCCTGTAGGCGCACTGCAGCGGGTCCAGGGTGGGGCTGACCACAGGGCGGAGATGGGCGAGGATGCGCTTGACTTGGGTGGTGGGTCTCTGGAGCAGACAGGTCGTCTGGGTAAAGACAACATTTGAATAAATCACAAGGCAAAAAATGCTACACAAGCTAAAGTTTGAAGTTTCACTAGATTCTTGCTAATGATAGGTACCACTGAGAAGATGGACCAATCTGGCAGTGAGGAGAACTTGATTGTAGGAGTCAGGTGTAACTGCTCAGAGATCCCACCAGCAAAACACCAATCTTGCAAGACACAAGCGGGGAACTGAGACCAGGGAATAGACAGACACGTGGGGAACAGAACATTTATTTTATGCACTACTATACAAATGAATTGATTCAGTTGAAGTTGAAATAAGAATTGGTGGGACAACTGTCAGAAACTGACAAATATGTTTTGCCCCACTTTATATAAACAAATACTGTACATCCATAGACCACACCTGCATTGCTGCTCCAGTAACCTCTTATCTTGGTCAGGTCCTGTGTGCTGTCCCCCTGGTCCTGGATGTCCAGTGAGTTCTGCACTCAATGCGCTTCTGCAGGCACCTCTATGCATCTGCACGAATAAAATTTAGTGTTGAGAGAACAGATTTTTAAAGAACATGTGATGTCCTCCTAAGTTCACCTGAGTCTGTGCTGGATGAGAGAAGGCACGCTCTTTTTGTGGCACTGTCAGCTGCAGCCACAATTTCTGCCACTGGCATTTTCAGTGGCAGCTAGAAGTTTTTGTTGCATTTCCAGGGGCAGCAAGAAGCGTAAAGGCATTTTCGCATGAATGGCCCCATGGGCAGGTGGTGGTAGCCTGGCTCTGCCAGACCCTTGTAGTTCCGCCATGTTCCACCAGAGGCGTTTGGCTGAACCACATGGGTCTGGTGTCGACGCCATAGCGAACGCCTTCCCTAGATTATTTTTTAATTGACCAATCAGGATTGCCGGTGTTACGTGGGGTTTGCACTGCCTTCTCAAGCTTCTCTCATGCAGCAGCGAGAGGAATCCAAGATGGCGGACGTAAAGTCCGCGAATCTTTTTAAAAGAGTAAATACTAGTGATGGGTCCAGCAACACTGATACACCGGCGCATGTGCCGAGTTCGTTTAGCGAAACCTCGTATCGGCGCGCGTGTCGCTTTATGAAAAACCCACGTGACCGATACAGCCGCCTGTCGCTTGTCACCGACACGGCAAACTGTGTTTAAAAGGTTCCGCATCTGCAAGTGTCACCGGTATGAACCGCTCTCAGAAAAAGAAAATAACCCTTTCAAAAAGGAAAAACATCCCATTTTACAGTATAAAAAATGGAACCTGCAACTAAAAGAAAGTATTCTGCAGTGTGATACTGCAAATAACAGCAAATAAGGCAATGTTTGTATTTCACATTTCACGCTTTATCTAAAATCAAGATTTAGTTTAAAATGGAAAATCTAGTTAGGCATGTCGGACCTCAAAAATGTTGACATCACAGTCTTGAAGAATGATTTTGAGAAATTGAAGTGCAGAAAATGTCAAAGGTTTTTTCAAGTATACTTTAGTTGCCAGGGTTTACAGTGCACTTTGGACATGCTTATTGTTTTGGGAAAACAAATAATTTATATATATATGAAATCACTCAATGACATTTTGCTTAATGATTACATTC